GATTAACTGCCAGCAGTTTCAGCTTTGTCTCTGTCTCTGTCCCTGGCTAAAGGTCAGGTCACCCAGCTCTGACGGTCTCCCTTCCACTCACATCCACTTTGCTCTCCTCTCTCAATCCATTCTGTGCCACGCCATTGATACATCTCGTATCTCTACTTTGGGCATCTCTAGAGACTTTTATCTCCATTGTCTGGTTTGGCTTACTCGCAGTTTGTTTATAGTTTATAGAGACCGTTGGCAGCTGCCGCATTTGGAACGGGCTTAAACTGGCATAAAATAGTTAAGCCACAAGATACAGCCACATACTCGCATGAGTCATGGCACACGAGAGATAAACATTGTATGAAAATGAAAGTAGCACTCATTCAAGTCTTAGATATGCCATATTTAGCTTGATTTCGTATTCCGCGTGGCAAATGGGCGCTGGGCACTCTATTCGTAACCAATGTGGCCAATCGCCCTGGGGGAAATTTTTACATAGTAAATTAAATATAAAACACTTTAAAATAAATATAATATATATATATAAATATATGTATATAATATAATAATAATATAATAAATATAAAATATTTATTTTTTATTTTAACAAATTTCCTCTACATTTTTTTATTCTGAGTATAAATATTAAAATTTCAGTTATTTTTATCTCTGGCTGTAGCTCCTCTATCTTGCCTCTTTTATGTATTTATTTTATTAGCTTCAAAAATTTGCATATATTTTTTTTTTTTGTTGCTGAAAAATATACATGTCTAAACATATTTTTTGGGAGTGGTCGAACATGATATGGGAGTACTATATACTCGTAGAATCGGCTATCCAGGCAAGTGCCATGACTCGCGCTTTTGGCAGCCCACAAATGGTAGACCCAAAACGCGTCTCAGTTCGAAAAAAGGGGAAAAGTCTGCAACGGCGGCTGGGGGTAAGTAGTGAAAGCGCCAACATCTTTTACGTGGTATCTTGTCGTTGGTTTTCCTTAAGGCCCAGGCCCCCAGACGAGACTGCAATCATATTTCACCTCTGCGCCAGAGTTTGCTGCACTTGTCGTGGTCGTGGTTGCAGTTTTTTGTTTTTATATCCGTTTGTTTGCTGCGGTGGCTATAAAAATAACTGAACACCCGAACAACTGTTCGAGCCGAACACTTGCCATTGCCACACTCTTGGCCAAGTTTGGCAACGGTTTTGACGGCTGCCAGAGCCCAGAAATCCACCGAAAACCGGCAGCAGCCCCTACCAAAAACGAGTTGTTGCTGTTTGTTGTTTGGTTGATTGTACGAAATACTCGTACTAGTACTCGTACTAGTATTTCTAACTATTTTTGTTGTCCACCATTTAATTTCATTCATTCGAAGTTAAGCGGCAAACGAACAAAACTACCAAAAAGCAGACGCAAAGCTGTGGTTGCTGTTTTTTCCACTGTACCCTTTTTTTGTATGGAGTATTATTAACTTATTAAATCTTTTACTACATATAATATTTGGTAAATTCGGGGTCCCATCTCAAACTTTCACCTTCTATATCACAACTTTATATTAAATATAATTTCCATCTCTAAAATGTTTTTGTAAATACAATATGTCCATCCCGAATTTCTCTATATATGTAGATCGTCAAATAGCCAAGCTACGAAAATATAATTTTTTCATTTTTTTTTCCCCCCATATCTTTTCTTCTCTTCTTAGGGCATTTTCACTTCGAACTTATTCACTTATTTTTTTTTTGTCTCTCTCTCCTTCCAACATTGTATCTGCCTGATTTTGGTTTTTCTTTGGTCTTCCCTCTCGCTCGTTGTCGATGGAGGGGCTTTTCTCGGACTGCATTTTCCGCTGGGGACTGGGTACTACTCGCAAGTGATTTTCATCAACGTCGTCTCCACTGGGTTTTTAATGCCATTTTCGTGCCTTGGCTGTTGCTTTGTTGCTTTCGATAAATGCCCACAGCCTGCAGAGTTGAGTTTTTCCGGCTGCAGTTTTCCCCTGGTGTCTGGTGCGCAATTCAATTGCTCGATGATGGCAAGGTTGGTTGGCAAAGGGGAACGGTAGGACAATGGCAATTGGGATGTGGTAATTACCGCAGGTAGCTGACGTATGTTGCACGTTACTCAAGCAGGTGTTTACGTGCGTCTGCAGATTTTCTGTTTCTGTTTTTCATATGAAGTTGCACACACAGCATGGAATCAATTGGTTTTTTTTTATAGTTATAGTTATTTTATAGTTTCATAATTATTATTTGCATTTTATATTCAGTCTTCCCGTTAACTTGAGGCTTTTGTCGTGAAAATCTGACATGAAAACTCACTCTGTTCTGCTAAGCCACACTGTGAGAGAAGGACAGAAAAGGAGCGCCCGAAGCGTGACAGAGTTTTATTGTGGCACCAAATAATTCCGATTGGTATTTTTAGGGTATTTCTGTCTTCTTTTCTTTCCCTTCCACTCTCTACGACATTACATTGTATATTCCTGATGTTTTAGCATTATTCTTGGTCTTATATTGGCAACCCACGCGCCTCTCAGAAAAAAAAAGAAAAACCTGAAATCTGTCATGAGCCTAAAAGACATTTATAAATTGGTTTTTGAGTTGCTGTTGCTTTTGTGGTTCGCTTTTCGAGCAAACAACCCACATGATTATATACAATAATGAATGGAGGCCCCCTCGCACATATGTATGTATCCCCCGCATGCCGCCCGATATCTTTAATTGGCCTCAACATTGAAATGTCACACGAGTGAGTAGTCGGTAGCATAATAATTATAGACAATAAATTATGATCATAGGCTATTTGCAAGCCATGTACGAGTACTGCGAGTATTACCTTACTTATTCAGATTATATTTCCTTTATGTCATTCCAGTTAATACTGCCTATATGACAGACCCACACGACATCGACAGCGACTGAGAGACACGTAAGTTGAGAGCACGAAGCGTGCAATTAAACCCCCCCGCATAAACTATAGAATATTTATGTAAATTTATAAATGTACATATATACAAACACACGTATGTGTTTTTATTAAAGAGTAAAACTTTGTCTCTGGTCTGACCCCAATCCGAGATGTAATGCTGCAAATGGAGCAGACAGCGGGAGGACTTGAGGGTAGGATTAGGGTAGGGTAGGGTAGGGTAGGGTACAAGCACTCCTCCACTCCCATTTCCCAGTTGGGTTCCTGTGCAGGCGGGCATAGTTTTCTGTTTAATATAAAAAGCGATTTCAATGTATGTTGATACCCTTTAAGTTAATGCCAATTCTATCCTACTGATTCACGTTTGAGAGCTCTTTTCGAATTTTTATTTGGTGTTCCAAAAACAAAGACCATCGCCACGTGTATTTTAGGTTTTCTTTGTACTTAAATATTTATTTAAAATTTTTTTATTTTCGTGAACATCATGATCATACATTGAATGGGTGTTGCATATATGTATATGGATTGTACATGCACATTTACGTTAAAATTTAAATTAAGAAAAAATACATTTTTTTTAAGCTATATAAATTTTCACATAATAGATTTTAATTGCTTTAAATACACTGCACACTGATTGTATATACATTTTTTGATTATAATTGTAGAGAAATCCAATATTCTGCAATCCATTTTTGGTTTAATTTTTCTTCATAAGATCCTCTACGAACGCAAAACTCACATTCGTATCAAACTGCAACTTCTTATCAAAGAGCCACTGAAGCGACAATAAATAATCGCCCGTCGGCATGGGAACACCAAGCAGCTCGTGTCTTAGATAAAAATCCTTAATAATCTGTGGTCCCTGTATTGGAAATTTTAGATGTTTAGATGCTAAAGACTACAATTCCCGGACGAGTATAATCTTACCACGTAGGGGCATGTGTGATTAATATTGGAATACTGTTTGAAAAGCCGATAGACTATTGAAGCAATGGGATTATTTGCCTTTCGTACAAACTGACAGCCATCAAGTGTGACATCATAAAGCCAAGGCTTATAGCCGTTTGCTCTTTTGAAAATCCTTCCATGAATGTATATATCGTTGACCGGATGTAATATCGTTCCATTTAAATTAAAGAGCACTTTATTTCGACTGACCGCCTTCAGTCGACAGTTGTGAAACACGAACCAGGATTGATTGTAGCTCTCGCACACCACGTTTGTAAACTTGAAAACTACAGCATCCTGGAATTAACTATGATTAAAGCAGGACCCACATATTTCACATAAAACGTAGGGGATTTACTTACATTATAATCGAATATTGAAGTTAGAAATATTCCGAAAAAAACACAGAGGAATTGTTTGGACTGCATCGCTTTTAAACGAATGATCAACGAATGACCGTTTATTCCCAATGATGGAATAATCTTATACATATTTTTTTTTCGCATGAGTCGTTTTTGATTTATTTAATTGTTATTTTTAAATGTACCATATCATAAGGTAAACCATGTCCATCTGTGTATCCGTTTATATATCTTTAAATCGTTTCTGGATCAGAGAACGGCATTAGGTGGTTGAAAAAAAAACGTTTATACATAAAAATCACCCGAATAAACTCGCTTAGATAACACTACTCAACAAAATTGAACTTTTTCTTTCGGCTGTGGACCAAATTACTTTTTCTGATAGATTTCGGGATTTAAAAATTGTTGTAGTACTTTATTTTTTTTTATGGTTTAATTTTTTTTAAGAATTTTTAAAATCAGGTATTTTTTCATGGTTTTTGTTTTTCAGAGGTAGTGCTTCTATTTTTAAACCCAAATATATTTATTTATGGTTGGTTACATGGAACTTTAAACATTGAAAAAAAAAAATTAACCATAAAAAAACCATAATTCGCTCTAAAAAAAAATGTAAAACCCAAAACCTATAAGAAAAAGTCATTTTGGGCCAAAGCCTAAATGTCGTGTTGACTAGTGTAACAGAACAACAGATTAGAACGCTGCGTTCCCTCCTCTTGATGAAAAAGAAAACATTTAAAAGAGACAATTTGCCATTTTATGTTATGCCCATTTCCGCATAATAGAGTTTAATTGCTTTAAATACACTGAACACTGATTGTATATAAGTTTTTTGATTATAATTTTAGAGATATATAATATTCTGTACAATCCATTTTGGGTTTAATTTTTCTTCATAAGATCCTCTACGAACGCAAAACTCACATTAGTATCAAACTGCAACTTCTTATCAAAGAGCCACTGAATCGACAATAAATAATCGCCCGTCGGCATGGGAACACGAAGCAGCTCGTGTCTTAGATAAAAATCCTTAACAATCTGTGGTCCCTGTAATGGAAATTTTAGATTTTTAGATGCTAAAGTACTGAAATACCCGGACGAGTATAATCTTACCACGTAGGGGCATGTGTGATTAATATTGGAATACTGTTTGAAAAGCCGATAGACTATTGAAGCAATGGGATTATTTGCCTTTCGTACAAACTGACAGCCATCAATTGTGACATCATAAAGCCAAGGCCTATTGCCGTTTGCTCTTTTGAAAAACCTTCCATGAATTGATACATCGTTGACCGGATGTAATACCGTTCCATTTAAATTGAGGAGCACTTTATTTCGCCCGACCGCCTTCAGTCGACAGTTGTGAAACACGACCCAGGATTGATTGTAGCTCTCGCACACCAAGTTTGTAAGCTTAAAAACTACAGCATCCTGGAATTACCTATGATTAAATGAGGACCCACATATTTGACATAAAACGTAGGGGATTTACTTACATTATAATCGAATATTGAAGTTAGAAATATTGCGAATAAAACACAGAGGAATTGTTTGGACTGCATCGCTTTAAGCGAATGATCAACGAATGGCCGTTTAAACCCAATGATGGAATAATCTTATATATATATTTTTTTTTTCACATGAGTCGTTTTTGTTTTATTTACTTGTTATTTTTATATTTACCATATCAGAAGGTAAACCATGTCTATCTGTGTATCCGTTTATATATCTGCAAATTGTTTCTGGATCAGAGAACGGCATAAGGTGGTTGAAAAAAAAAACGATTACACATAAAAATCAGCCGAATAAACTCGCTTAGATAACACTACTCAACAAAATTGAACTTTTTCTTTCGGCTGTGGACCAAATTACTTTTTCTGATAGATTTCGGGATTTAAAAATTGTTGTAGTACTTTATTTTTTTTATGGTTTAATTTTTTTGTAAGAATTTTTAAAATCTGGTATTTTTTCATGGTTTTTGTTTTTCAGAGGTAGTGCTTCTATTTTTCACATAACTTAAGTATCTTGTATCTGGTTGCATGGAACTTTAAACATTAAAAAAAAAAATTAACCATAAAAAAACCATAATTCGCAAAAAAAAATGTAAAACCCAAAACCTATAAGAAAAAGTCATGTTGGGCCAAAGCCTAAATGTCGTGTTGACTAGTGTAACAGAACAACAGATTAGACCGCTGCGTTCCCTCCTCTTGATGAAAAAGAAAACATTTAAAAGAGACAATTTGCCATTTTATGTTATGCCCATTTCCGCATAATAGAGTTTAATTGCTTTAAATACACTGAACACTGATTGTATATACATTTTTTAAATTATAATTGTAGAGAATTCCAATATTCTGTACAATCCATTTTGGGTTTAATTTTTCTTTATAAGATCCTCTACGAACACAAAACTCACATTCGTATCAAACTGTAACTTCTTATCAAAGATCCACTGAAGCGACAATAAATAATCGCCCGTCGGCCAGGGAAGAGGCATCAGATCGGTTCTCAGATAAAAATCCTTAATAATCTGTGGTCCCTGTAATGTAAATTTTAGATGTTTAGATGCTAAAGGACGAGTAAGGTAAGGACGAGTATAATCTTACCACGTAGGGGCATGTGTGATTAATATTGGAATACTGTTTGAAAAGCCCATAGACCATTGCAATAAGGGGATTATTTGGCTTTCGTAAATACTGACAGGCATCAAATGTAACGTCATAAAGCCAGGGCCTATAGCCGGTTGCCCTTTTGAAAATCCTTCCATGAATGTATATATCGTTGACCGGATGTAATATCGTTCCATTGAAATTAAAGAGCACTTTATTTCGACTGACCGCCTTCAGTCGACAGTTGTGAAACACGAACCAGGATTGATTGTAGCTCTCGCACACCACGTTTGTAAACTTGAAAACTACAGCATCCTGGAATTACCTATGATTAAATCAGGACCCACATATTTCACATAAAACGTAGGGGATTTACTTACATTATAATCGAATATTGAAGTTAGAAATATTCCGAATAAAACACAGAGGAATTGTTTGGACTGCATCGCTTTAAGCGAATGATCAACGAATGGCCGTTTAAACCCAATGATGGAATAATCTTATATATATATTTTTTTTTTTCACATGAGTCGTTTTTGTTTTATTTACTTGTTATTTTTATATTTACCATATCAGAAGGTAAACCATGTCTATCTGTGTATCCGTTTATATATCTGCAAATTGTTTCTGGATCAGAGAACGGCATAAGGTGGTTGAAAAAACGATTACACATAAAAATCACCCGAATAAACTCGCTTAGATAACAGAACAACAGATTCAATTGCTTTAAATACACTAAAAACTGATGGTATATAAATTTTTATTACAATTGTTGAGGTACGTAATATTCTGTACAAAACCAAAAAGGTTTAATTTTTCTTCATAAGATCCTCTACGAACGCAAAACTCACATTCGTATCAAACTGCAACTTCTTATCAAAGAGCCACTGAAGCGACAATAAATAATCGCCCGTCGGCAAGGGAAGAGGCATCAGATCGGTTCTCAGATAAAAATCCTTAACAATCTGTGGTCCCTGCAATGAAAATTTTAGATGTTTAGATGCTAAAGTACTGAAACACCCGTACGAGTATTATCTTACCACAAAGGGGCATGTGTGATTAATATTGGAATACTGTTTGAAAAGCCCATAGACCATTGCAATAAGGGGATTATTTGGCTTTCGTAAATACCGACAGGCATCAAATGTAACGTCATAAAGCCAGGGTCTATAGCCGTTTGCCCTTTTGAAAATCCTTCCACGAACTGATATATCGTTGACCGGATATAATACCGTCCCATTTGCATTAAAGACCACTATATTTCGACTGACCGCCTTCAGTCGACAATTGTGAAACACGAACCAGGATTGATTGTAGCTCTGGCACACCAAGTTTGTAAATTTGAAAACTACAGCATCCTGGAATCAACTATGATTAAAGCAGGACCCACATGTTTCACATAAAACGTAGGGGATTTACTTACATTATAATCGAACATTGAAGTTAGAAAAATTCCGAATAAAACAAAGAGTATCAACTGCATTGCTACTAAACGTTTGATCAACGAATGGCCATTGAATCGCAATGATAGAATAATCTTAGCCTTATATTTTTCCGCATGAGTAGGATTTTGATCTGTTTTTGTTTAAAATATCAGGTATAACATTTCCATTTGTCTGTGTATCCATTTAGCTGTTCGGAAATCGTTATGGGATTACCTTTATTCATATGGTATAATATGAAAAGTAATTAAAACTGATTTAAATTATAATTTTCTGTTTTTTTTTTTATTTTCTTTTATTGATACATTAAAATAATGTGTCTATAAATCCCAACATTATCTAAGTATGCACCCAAAAGCTCATTGCTCTGGAATTAATACAGTTCAACAACCACTTTTTCAAAAAGCTAAACGACAGTTGCGCTTCATTTATTCAAGCTTATTTAAACCCTGTTTAAATATATTTCGGATCGCAAGATTAATTTCTGTGTACAGCTGACATAAATTGACTATGAAATTATTCTCAATGTATGATCTTCTATTGACTTTATTTTGCTCGAATTTTGTTGTGCGCTTCGATCCCACAAAGGATGCTGCGCTGAGCTGCTGGGAAATTGAATCGTTTGGGAACATACTCTCTCTCTCTTTCTCTCTCTTTCGTATCGTACTACATTGATGATGTCACTGGATGGGGAGGGCGGGTTGGAACTCTTGCGGCAGGCTATAAAATTGATTTTGCATTAAAATTCGTTTAAGAAGCAAATTCCGTTTTCTGCGTACCGAAGTGCGAAACAAAATTCGAGGCGTGGAAGCAACACTAAAAATCAATTAAATTCCTATTTATATAAATACAAGAAATGAAAAAAAAAAAATAAAAAATAAAATTAAATAAAAAGTAGAAAGAGGCGCCTCGCAGGTTCTTATTCGCTCTCTCTCTTCTCTCTCTCTCTCTCTCTGTCTGTGCCTCTCAATCTGTGGATGTGGCTGTGGATGGGAAAATGTTTGGCTCGTGGCTCTGTTGGGTTGCTGTTGGCCAACCGCATCGTTTGCTGACCCAATTTTCACCGGCTAAGAATAGCGAAAAAATGCTTGTCGGTTTCGTGCATCGTTCTGCGTCAAATTACACACGAGAGAAGTGCAGCAGCAGTGACATCTCTCAGATACTCGTACTTCCAGTTTACAAAATTATACAAATACATTGCTACACCATCGATTCTATTAAACATCTTCATTCTTGCTCATTCCTTAGGGAATATCCCACAGAAAGTTGTATTTTCTAAATTCCTTCTAATTCCTCAGTTCGGATAATTATTACATGTATCAAAGATTTTACAAGCTCATACTACTAGAGCAGTTTCTCCCATATTAAATCCCATCCAATAGCATATTTTTTTGGTCATCTTAAATCTAAACTATTAAAAATTCTTTATAATTTATTATTCCCATTCTGTCATCGCTTTGACTATCTCTAATTAATTAAATGCAAATAATTTATTTATTCACATCCCCCGTTTGCTGCCAAGTGAATTACATGAACAAATTTATAACAATGAGACCTACCCAGTGCGAGTACCATTTTGTTGGCGATTTGTTGGCGCCCAACCAAAAGCCGGCGACAAGTTTTATTCCAATCACAAAAACTATACGAATTTTGTCATCATTTTTCACTTGTCATCTTGCTGCAAAGAGGCCAAAAGAAAAGCGCCAGGGGGCGTGTGCATCTTTCTGTACGTCTCTTTAATTGTAACACTCGAATGAATATGCATTTCCATTTATTTTGGTTTTTCCTTAAGCCTATTCCCAATATAAATCTGAAAATGTTTCTGAGGCATTTCCGCATTGTTCTTTTCGTCATAAATCAATTGGTTGCAATCTAAACAATTCCTCGTGAATGTGTCTGCGTGTCGATCAATTGAGGCGTAGGTACCAAAATTAGCGAACAACACAGAGAGACGAGACACACACAAATCAATCAAGCGTCTCCCTATTTGCATATTTCTTTATGCCCCCAGAGGCGAGAATTCTCTAGTCCCCACAGAGCTCTATAGTTCTATAGAGAGGAGGAGGTGGGGAGGAGCTGCTAAAAAAAACTTGATTTGAAATCGAGCTGTGAATTATTTGCCAATAAACTTTATTATAAATTGTATATATCAATCAGTAGAGAAATATTCATCCGTTGCTGTTCTGTTCTGTTGCCAAAAATTACTTGAAATGTTATCAAATTTATTGCTAAATTTAGGACTGTAATTACCTAATTCCTATTTACAAATTTAAGGAAATATAAGCCAAAATATTCATAAACTAAAACTAATAGGAACGTTGAGTCACACGAGCTAGAGAGATTCATGGGAAACTGTTAGGTATACTTGAATACAATTTTTAAACATTGATAATATTCAAAAAGATCAATGTTATTTTTTCCCTAAAAGTAAAAAAAAAACGCTTTAAAATTTTCGTCACATTTCTCGTAAATCCATTCGGTGATTCTTGCTTATAAAAATGAACAAATAAAAATAAGAAAAATATATTTAAATTACGTGACTTTCATGAGCAAATTCCAGAAATGGATTAGAAAGTGTTCATTAGCTTTCTTATCAGCGCTAGCCTCACCATTGCATGTGCCCGTCTGTCCTCCTTTGGTTCCACTATGCTGGAAACATTTTTTCGATGCGTTCTGGCGTGTATATACAATATCTATAGATCTATAATTAGAGTTTTCTTCATGTTTTACGTTATTTTTTTGGTCGATTGTGACAAAAGTTCTCACGTTGCTTGTACTGGATTGAATTCCCTTGTTGGTGGTTGTGGGTTGGGGTTGGCTTTTCCTGACTTTTGTTCGATCTGTATCTCCATTGTATCTTTGTCAGTTTGCAGGGGAATATTGCCTTAAATATGATGCCATAGCAGGGCAAAGCCTCATTACCGATCAAGTGGCTTCTCAATGCACAACTCAATGCAAAGGACTTGAAAATTTCCGTAAACAAATGCATAATAATATTATCAATTAATAAATACTATAAAAATATTGTGACAAAACGCGGCACCAGCTTAAAGAAGATTTCATCAGGTGAGAGATAAAACATTGCGTACAAATCAAATTGCGGAACTGAAGAAAATCAATCGATTTGTTTATACATTTTTTGGGAATCGTTCGAGAGCGACCGATTGCTGTGTATGGTGTATTTCAAATAATTATTAAAATTCTCCTGGCCCCGGGCCAAGTTTTCTTTTCTTTTCCTTTTGGAATTTTCAATTTAAATTTCTTCTCTCTCTGGCGCGAGAGAGATCTTGTCCGGCAACATGAGGGGCCATGTGCAACACTTTATAAACTATGAAATGTGTTTTATATCCATTTCTCTACACAAGTATATCGGCTTCTGTTTTGTATCTCTGAGTAATTTTTGTGGATATTTGTGGGCGCCCCACCCTTGAAAAATGTGGCCAAAGATGAGTCATTTCGGTCGTTTCAGTTTTAACCACCCAGAATGAAAATGTGTCCACCCTTGTTGCGGGTTGTGTTTTGTGGTTCTCCCTGTTTAATTTGAATTTAAATTTTCCCTTCCTGCCTCAACAAACAAGGCGTTGTGCGACGACAGACTCTCCCCAGAGATGCAAAACAGACGACAAAAATCGATAAGCGCTAAAGTTTTTTTTTTGTATATTCTTTGGACTTTAATTTTCATCCGACCAACAAATCCCCCCAACTCTCGAACCCCTTGGAGGCGTCACCCACACAGTGACATAATATTCTGGCTACTCCCCCCAGAAGAGTGTGCCACAAGGCTGTTGGTTAAAGAGCGAAAAACTGGGAAAGAAAAAGAAAAAGAGAGAGTGGTAGGCGTCGAGTTGTCGCCAATTGCCTGTACCCCCTGGGTGGGGTTTTCCCAAGAGCTTAGAACTGCGAGCTCTTTTTACGACTTTCTTGGCGCCAATACCATCCGTTCCGATATTTAATAGACGATGAGACATCAGGAATTAGAAATGTGTTTGGCATTGAACAAGGGATTTTTGTTGACAGGAATTTGTCGGAAATAGCATGCAAAAAAAGGATTTACATATCCTGTGGCATTGCTGAGAGAAGTATTTCCTCTTTCTAATTGAAGAAGCCCGCCCCCCTGAAACTGATCTTCTTTTGTTGGATTTCTGAACAGACCCAGCAACCCAGCAACCTTTTCTGATGCAATCCCCTTGTCAAACGGATTCACCAACATATTCCGGCAGTGTACTAAAAATCCTGAATAGAGGAGCGAAGCTCTACAGAAATTAGCGTAATTTCTAAATTTTCAACTGAAAATATCTTTGAAATTGTTTGGAAATCTTTTGATAATGAATCGGAATCCACAATCTCCCACAAATTTGGGCAAGCAGAATGGAGCCCTGGTGCTGGAGGTGCTAAAAGTGTTGGGTCGTCCCGCCACCATCTCGGAGGTGGCCCAACGGGTATCCACGGTGTACAAGCTGCCGCTGCAGCCCATCCAACCTGTTGTGGCCGATGTGCTCAGGGCGGGCGTGGCCTACGGTTTCTTCAGTTGCCGCTTCGGCTGCTATGCGGTGGTGCAGCGCATCGTGGAGCAGTTGAGTCGCGATATTGATGAGTACGCTGTCAAAGTCATTACCGGGGACACGCCTCAGATGTCGCCGCTGATGCTGAAGCTGCAGCAGTTGGACGAATCCCCGCTGGTGTCGGGGAACAGCCATCGTTTGGTGTATATGCATGACCCAAACTATCCCCAGTGGAGAGCAGTCACCGATAATCCCTGAGAGTCGGAGTCCTTTACTTGAAGTGTTCCCAAATCAAATCCAATTCGCATTGTAATCCAATAAAACAGAATTCTTTGAAGCGTTGAAAATGGGGCAATGACTCGTCCTTGTTTGTGGAACTGCCACCCCCGCTACTTGCACCTCCCCTTCAGTTCTCTGCTCGCGGGGCTATTGTCCTTTGTGTGCGGGACATTCACATCATTCCACATTCCACATTCAACAAACACTCACTACCGTTACGCGCACAAAGAACAAACAGCTGTGGTCTTGTGGTTTACTTTTTATTTTTATTTTATTATTATTTTTTTTTTTCCATTTCTACTACTCCACTTTAGAACTCCTATGCCCCGCACCCAATCTAGGTCTCAGTCCCCAGTAGCCTGCACCCCTCCCCTTGTGTCCTGTGTTCATTGTCAGGTTGTTGCCTGTCTAGGAAAAAAAAAACCCAAGGAAAAGTTCAAACTCGAGTTGCAGCGTTTCCACTGGCTCATTTGCCTTTGGCTTATGTCTGGTTCACTTGTCAGTGCGCTCTTCAGGTGATACCCTACAGCAGAGCAGGTATGCCAAGCAGCAATGGCAACAGTTGGTAATCCATCGAATTAAATTTGGATTCTATTTGGGGATACTATTTATGGTTAAAATTATAATTCATACCCCAGGAGGAACCAAAATTTATTTAGAAGAATTCTGCAACATGTTTACACGGTATTTAATAAGTGCGGAGGCTGAACTTCGTTCAATAGTTCCAGCACTTCCTTAATGGCAGCACAGTTTTCCTTTCTTTTGCTTTGTTTACGGGTTTATTTGCGTCCCCTGACCCATCGTCGCCGTCCGCTTCTTCGTCATCTCATTAGCGTGTGTGGCCTTTTGCATTTATCATGAGTGTTTTATTCTCTCAGCTCTGATTCAATTAATTGAATAATAATGTTCCACGCGAAATCTCTGTTGTCATTCCGAAATCCGAAAGCGAAACAGAAACATATGTATACTTACAAATGTATGTGCATAAATATGTAAATTGTACATATGTACAATGTGCAGCAGAAAGAAAGCAAAACCAAGAAAAAATCAGAGTAATATGATGACAAAGACTAAAGTTGAATGAAAAATCTTTTTGTTTTGTGAGAAAGACATGCAGAGAGCAAAAGGATGTAATTTAAAGAGAGTGAGCGAAAGAGAGATAGAGATCTGACAATAAATGAGTGGGAGGGGGGATTACACATTTCTGAGAATATTTAAAAAGTAAAACGTGCACTTTGCTTACATTCGTAATGAGGAAGTTAAATCCCTAATAAGTGGTCAGATGACGATAATGTTGATGATGGTTCGTTGACTTCCCAGCAGGTCAGAAGCAGGAATACATCAAGGAAGGCTTTGACTATCTTAAACTATAACTACAGTTGATAGCTGAGCGCTGAGCTGGTCCCCATAATTCAATAACAGTGTTGAGCTAGCGAGCTTTTTCACTAGCGTAGTATTGCTATATGTTTATTAACGAGACGATGGTTGTTTAGATTAAATATGGTTTATTGTTGTAAACAGTATAAAGGCGATACAGAGTCAAAGAGATAGCGAAAGGTTCAAGTTAGATTGATGGCGAGTCGGTTGGAGAGTTAGCTGGATTCAAGACGGGGTCAGATTGAAGACGCGGGGGTCGGTACAAGACGGTGTCGGATTGAATAGCTCGATTCCAAGACGATGTGCAGTGGTTGCTAGATCAGACTAATTCAAAGGGCAGGCGGGCCGAATTGCCCGTGCCCTAATGCGAGCGAGAGAGCGACAGATCGAGAGAGTGATAGCGAAAGGCGATAGAAAGAAGAGTGTGAGTTGAAGACGCGAGAGAACGGCGGAATAGGCTGCTGCCGTGCGGGAGCATGAATATGTACATATGTATGTAGATGACAAAGTTAAGCAGTGGGCAGTAGAAATGCTGAACAATAATAGATATTTACTCTACTGCTGCACCACTGACTATGATCTACTAATTATTTGGCTGCGTAACCAAACAAACAGAAAGAAGCCAAAATAAACAATATACCCAGATTTTAGTAGTGCTGTAAAACCGTCACAAAATTATTTTAACAGAAAAATCAAACAACAAAAAATACACCAGATTGAGAGAGACACAGAGAAATATTCGGTTCTTAAAACAAACAAAAATTTATGTCAAATTATAGGGTTGAAGGTTTGGTTAAACTTATTTTGAAATATGCGTGAGATATATGCCCCGTATTCAGATAAAGAGCAAGTTACACTCTAAGATCTACGATCTGTGTTCGTTTTTCATACTAATTGTTCCTTTTTCCCTTCCCACTCTCCGCTTCTCTTCCGTAGAATGAGCCGCCAACATCAGCGGCACCACCAGACGCAGCAGCAGCAGCAGTTGCAGCAACAACAGCAGCAGCAGCAGCTGACGGTGCAACAGCAGCAGCAGCAACAGCTGCTGATGGCCGAACATGCGGCGGCTGCCGAGGCCGCGGAGCTGTTCGATCTGCTCTGCGTGGCCACGACAATGCGCCAGATCCTGGCCCTCCATCGGGCCATGTGCGAGGCGGTGGGTCTGCGGCCGTCGCCCCTCAACGACTACTACCCCAAGCTGAAGGCGAAGGTGCGCTCGTGGAAGGCCGCGGCGCTGTGGAAGAAGTTCGATGCACGGGCCGCCCATCGGGTGTACGGCAAGGGCACCGCCTGCACGGGCACCCGCGTGCTGGTCATTGGGGCGGGGCCGTGCGGCCTGCGGACGGCCATCGAGGCGCAGCTGCTGGGCGCCAAGGTTGTGGTGCTGGAGAAGCGCGATCGGATCAGCCGCAACAATGTGCTGCATCTGTGGCCCTTTGTGATCACCGATCTGCGCAATCTCGGGGCCAAGAAGTTCTACGGCAAGTTCTGTGCCGGGTCCATCGATCACATCTCCATTCGGCAGCTGCAGTGCATGCTGCTGAAGGTGGCGCTGCTGCTGGGCGTCGAGATCCACGAGGGCGTGAGCTTCGAGCATGCCCTGGAGCCCAGCGGCGATGCCAACGGCTGGCGGGCGGCCGTCACACCGGCGGATCATCCGGTCTCGCACTACGAGTTCGATGTACTGATCGGGGCGGATGGCAAGCGCAATATGCTGGACTTTCGGCGCAAGGAGTTTCGCGGCAAGCTGGCCATCGCCATCACGGCCAATTTCATCAACAAGAAGACGGAGGCGGAGGCCAAGGTGGAGGAGATCAGCGGCGTGGCGTTCATCTTCAACCAGGCCTTCTTCAAGGAGCTGTACGGCAAGACGGGCATCGATCTGGAGAATATCGTCTACTACAAGGACGAGACGCACTACTTTGTGATGACCGCCAAGAAGCACAGCCTGATCGACAAGGGTGTCATCATCGAGGACATGGCCGATCCCGCCGAACTGCTGGCCGGCCCCAATGTCGACACCCAGAAGCTGCACGACTATGCCCGCGAGGCGGCCGAGTTCTCCACCCAATACCAGATGCCCAATCTGGAGTTTGCCGTCAATCACTACGGCAAACCGGACGTGGCCATGTTCGATTTCACGTCGATGTTCGCCGCCGAAATGTCCTGCCGCGTGATTGTGCGCAAGGGCTGCCGCCTGATGCAGTGCCTCGTCGGCGACAGCCTCCTGGAGCCGTTCTGGCCGACCGGTTCGGGCTGTGCCCGTGGCTTTCTCTCCAGCATGGACGCTGCCTATGCCATCAAGCTGTGGTCGAATCCACAGAACAGCACATTGGGTGTGCTGGCGCAGCGCGAGAGCATCTATCGGCTGCTCAATCAGACGACGCCGGACACGCTGCAGCGGGATATCAGCGCCTATACGGTGGATCCGGCCACACGGTATCCGAATCTCAATCGGGATTCGGTCAACAGTTGGCAGGTGAAGCATCTGATCGACACCGATGACCCGTCGGTGCTGGAGCAGACCTTCATGGACACGCAGCATGCCACGCTGCAGACGCCGCATGTGGAGACGCCTGGCAGGAGGAAGCACCGCAGCGGAGGTGAGTCAGGCGAGCGAGGAGAGTGTGCAGCACCATTTAATTATATTTTTTGCTTTATTCCCCAAAGATTCGCTGCCGCAAGCCGCCTCGCTGCTACGTTGGATCGCCGCCCAACTGCATTCGCATCAATTTGTGCCTGAGCTCAAGGAGCCATCCGATGTGCTACGCAATGGACGTGTCCTCTGTGGCCTGATCAGTCGGTAAGTCCTTCTTCCTTCCTTCTTTGTGCTGCTCTCTGAAACTTGTTCATTAATTCTCTTTCGTGTGGGTTCTTTTTGCATTTAGATATCGTCCCGACCTAATCGACTTTGCGGCCACCAAGGAAATGAGTCCCTTGGAGTGCAACGAGCTGGCCTTTGCCGTGCTGGAGCGCGAGCTGAACGTTAAGCGGATTATGAGTGCCAAGCAATCGCTCGAACTGTCCGACATCGAGTCGCGGCTGTGGCTGAACTACTTGGATCAGATCTGTGAGCTGTTCCGCGGCGAGATACCGCACATCAAGCACCCCAAGATGGACTTTAGCGACCTGCGACAGAAGTACCGCATCAATCACACGCACGCGCCGCCGGACTTTTCCAAGCTGCTGCAGACCAAGCCCAAGGCCAAGTCGCCCATGCAGGATGCCGTCGATGTGCCCATCACGGTGCAGCGACGCTCGGTGCTGGATGAGGAGCGGGCCAAGCGGCAGCGGCGACACGAGCAGCTGTTGAACAGCGGTGGAGTGGCAGCCGCCGCCGCAGGGGCGACCGGCGCAGCAGGAGGAGCAGGAGTAGGCGGAGGAGCTGCAATCAGCGGCACCAATGCAGGGGGCAGCAATCTACACGCGGGTGTGTTGATAACCATCATACATCGCCGTCTAACAGAAAAATAATGATCTCAGAGTGGGGTGCCGTTGTTTAAATTTTGTAATAAAATTCAATTCGAAAGTGGTGCATACCCCGCCCCCCTTCTTGTATTTGTATTTGATTGATTCACGCACTCTGGATCATTGTTTTTGCTACCACACGCCCTGAACATGGCTTTACATTCTGCTCTCGTCTCGTTTCGTCTTTGCAGGCCAAAATGATACGCCACGTCGATCGAAGAAGCGTCGCCAGACATCAGACAAAACGGCCAACATTGTGAGTAGATGCTGGAGATTGATATTAACATGGCTGGGTTGGGCTGAGAACGTACACAATCTGGATGAAAAGTGATTCATCGAATTGGCATCACTTTTCAGCCAAATATTATGTGCATCAATTTCTCAATACATTATTTCATACCCGATTGAACAGTGTGGCGCAATCGTTTGGCGTTCGCATACATTCAAAATTGATATGTAAAGAAATTTCATAAATTGTATTATCATAAAATAATATCTCATATCCATATAAAACATGAAACATAAAACCAAAGCAAAACCAACAAGAGAATAATCTGTTCCCCAAAGGTTCAGCTAATACTGAGAACAGCTCTCTGTCATGAACTCTCGACCGCCATTAGTGCATTCGAATCATCCATCAATGAGGTCAGTTCGATCAGTGTCCAATAGATGTCCACCCCCCGCCCATCCGATCAGTAAAAAAACGCTCCACCCCCCCAGTGTCCTGAATCCTTTATGTGATATGTAACCCTTCCCCCCACAATTACTAATACCCTTAGCCATCAAGTAGTTGTTAGACTTAGTCTACTGTTTTGTGTCTGTTTCATGCCATGCACCCAACAATCAATCAATCTATCTATCACACACACACACACACACACACACACCCCTCCAACCAACCAACCAAATCGTATGCTCCTCGTACCCGAATCCGAATCCGATTCTGAATCCGATTCTGTCTTATGACGCGCACAGGAGGAGCGCCAGCAGCGTTTGCAGAATATCGAAGAGAATCGACAGGAGCGGATGAGCAAGCGCCGGCAGCAGCGCTACCATCAGACGCAGAATTTCTACAAGAGCCTGCAGCTGCTGCAGGCGGGCAAGCTGCTGCGAGAGGGCGAGGATGGTGTGGCCGAGGATGGCACCGCCTTTGAGGATTACTCGATATTCCTGTACAGGCAGCAGGCGCCCATTTTCAATGATCGCGTCAAGGAACTCGAACGCAAGCTGCTGTTTCCCGTAAGCAATGGATGCCCGCTGCACGCTGCCTGCTCTCTTTCTCGATTGTTTTGTTGTGCCCCTAAACTGAAGAAGAACTAACTGCTTTTGCGTTAACTTTTGGCCAACACATACACACGTACTCGTATGTGTGACTACCAAGAAAATTTCGTTGTTTTCCCCACTGTTATCTACGTTGTTTTTTGGAACCCTTTGGTATTCTGTTTGCGCTCCGCTCTAAAATTTGTTGTAGTTGCTGTTGTAACTCACAGAAAAAAAACCTAAAATATATTAATATATATTAATATTAATTAATATTAATTAATATTATATTAATATACAAATTTATTAAAATATATTAATATAACACTTGGATTTAAAAATGGATATGGCACAAAGAAAGATATTACTCGATATTTTATATATATTTGACTCGAAATATGAAAATTTTTGGATTAAAGTATTTTTCACATTAAAAATCCAAATATTTCATATTTAAATGAAATATATTTCATGCTTAAATAAAATATATTTCATACATAAAATAGATATATTTCATGCTTAAATAAAATATATATCACATTTAAACGAAATATATTTCATATTTCAATTAAATGTAAAATATATTATATTTATTTGAAGGTGTTTTATATTTCGATTTAAATATGTATGTGCCGAATATTAAATTCCCAATTTAAATTGGATAGTTCTTTAACTCTGAGTGTAAGAATAACCTGCCAGCTGCTCGTACTAATTGTAATCCCTAGGCTAGGCTAAGTCTCTAACTAGTCTTAAATCGAGGAAGAAAATAATTTTCGCTGTTTCCGTTGTTCGTTTTTGTTTTTGTTTTGATTGAGTTTTGAGTTTTGAGTGATGATCGTTTGTTGTTTTTGGTTTCGTTCCGTTACGTTCTTTAGACCTTAAGTATTTAAATATCAATAAATATTTTGATTTCTTCAACCCCCCTCTCCAACCCAAAATCCTGATAATCCCCAAAAAAAAAAAAAACAAAAAGGATCGCGAACGCGGCGACATACCCTCGGCGCTGCCGCGTAGCGCCGCCGATGAGCAATTCAGCGATCGCATCAAGAGCATGGAGCAACAAATGACCGGACGCGGCGGCCTGGGCGGCGACAAGAAGCCCAAGGATCTGATGCGGGCCATCGGGAAGATCGATTCGAGCGACTGGAATGTGCGCGAGATCGAGAAGAAGATCGAACTGTCCAAGAAGACGGAGATCCATGGGCCCAAGGGCCGCGAGAAGGTGCCCAAGTGGAGCAAGGAGCAGTTCCAGGCCCGCCAGCACAAGATGTCCAAGCCGCAGCGTCAGGATTCGCGCGAGGCCGAAAAGTTCAAGGACATCGATCAGACAATCAAGAATCTGGACAAGCAGCTGAAGGAGGGCCACAATCTGGATGTGGGCGAACGGGGCCGCAACAAGGTCGCCTCCATAGCCGGCCAATTTGTGCGCAAGGACGATGCCAATTCGGATGAGGCCAGCAACAGCGTCGCTCAGTCCAATACAGTCATACCGAAATCAGTGAGTAATGCAACGTACCGTACCGTTTTCCCCGTACCGTTTTCCATGTCAATGTTGGGTTTTTCCCACCCACTTTTAATTTTTTCCGCGCGTATAAATTATTTTATTTTATTATTTTATTTTCTTTGATTTTGTTGTGGCTAGTTTTGTTGTGGTTTCTGTGCTGCTGCAGTTGTTGTTTCAGTGGTTGTGGGGAATAATCCCCCAGTATCCCAATCTTATATCCCCATTCGCCTGCTCCTTAAACCTATGCCCTATCCGTTGTTGCTGTTGCCCGCTTAGGCGCTTCCACATCTCTCACCCACGACACACATGCCATAGACACATTTAACATTCATCGCAATGCAATGCCAAAATAACCCCAATGATTGTGTAACTGTTGCTCTCACATCTGTGTGCATGAAACAACCAGAAAACTAATGCTGAATCCTTCCTCGTGTCTTGCCCGCAGAGCTCTAAGGTGGCACTGGCCTTTAAGAAGCAGGCCGCCTCGGAGAAGTGCCGCTTCTGCAAGCAGACCGTCTACCTCATGGAGAAGACCACTGTGGAGGGTCTGGTGCTGCATCGCAATTGCCTCAAGTGTCATCACTGCCACACGAATCTGCGACTGGGCGGCTATGCCTTCGATCGGGATGATCCGCAGGGCCGCTTCTACTGCACACAGCACTTCCGGCTGCCGCCCAAACCACTGCCACAGCGCAGCAACAAGGCCAGAGTGAGTATCCACTTCCAGAATCCACAAATAATCCTTAACTAATATATTTATCCTCGGGCAGAAATCTGCTGCCGCTGCTGCTGCTGCTGCTGCTCAGGCTGCCTCGCCTGCGGCTCAACCAAGCGGTGGAGCTGCTGCAGCTGCGCCAGTCGAGCGCATGGACACCAACCAGGATGGCCAACTGGCCAGAGATCAAGTGGACCTGCTGGAGACGACAATGCCCGCGGATGGCATGTCCGACGATGAGGCCAATGTGATTGATGAGCACGAGTGGTCGGGCCGCAATTTCCTGCCCGAATCCAACAACGATTCGCAGTCGGAGCTCTCCAGCTCGGACGAATCGGACACCGAATCCGATTCGGAGGTGTACGAGGAGGCGGACGATTCACCGTTCGGGGCACAAACCCTCCAGCTGGCCTCCGAATGGATTGGCAAGCAGTACTGCGGGGATGATAGCGATGATACGACCGATTCGTATGATTCCAGTGATGGCATTGCGGGTATACAGAGTGCACAAGGAGGCGGAGGCTTGGGGGAGGCCTAATATTCTCTTTTTCTGTGTCTCTGTTACAGATGATGGCAAGGACGACACCGAGGGCGAGGACTTTAAGAAGGCTCGTGAGCGGAGACGCGAGGAGGTGCGCCTGCAGCCGCTGCCCGCCAATCTGCCAACGGACACGGAGACCGAGGTGAGGCACTCAGCGACAGGGGCACTCCGCTGTGCACTGGCTGTGGCAAGAGACTAACCTGATATTCATTATTCTCATTTATTTCTCTCTGACTCTTAATACTTGACCCCCGTCTGACCCACCGACCCCCCTGACCATCTGACTCTCTGCCCCTCCCCCCCTGTTGTGGTGTTGGTTTCTCTTTTTCACACTCTCCCCCGCCCCCTGATTAAATCCCCATAGAAGCTTCAGCTGAACGTTGAGAACGATAAGGAGAATGTGGAGCGCAGCTCTCTGCGTTCGGCCAACTCCTTTGAGTCGGCGCGCAGTCAGCCGGCGACACCCACAGCTGTCACAGCCACAGCCACGCCCACGCGCGCCGAGATGGAGCAGCTGGAGCGGAATGCACCGCGCAAGTTTAGCAGCGAGATTGAGGCAATCAGCGAGAAGCTCTACCACATGACCAACATGGTCAAAATGAACAAGGATCTCGAGCTGCTGGCCAAGGAGAATCTCGTCAAGAGCGACATTCTGCGCAAGCTGACGCTCAAGGAGAAGTGGCTGGCCGAGAATGCGGCCATAGCAGCGGGAATGGCCACCCAACAAAAGGTTCCAGCTGCTGCTGCTGCAGCTCCTTCTGCTGCTGCTGCTGGGAAAGCCCAAATCGCAGTTTGAGCAAAAATACGAAAAGCTGCAGTCGATGGCTGAGGTAAAGCCCAAGCCCAAGCCCGTCATAGACTTCAATTTGGAAGAGCTGCGCCCACGCAAGCCCAACTTTGAGGAGCGGCCCAAGGAGCTGCTGCCGCGGCCAGCGAAGAGCCTGAAGAGTCCCAGGAGCAGTGCCAATGTCAGCCGCTCCAGCAGCCTCAAGAGCAATGCCAGCACGGCAGGGAGTCCACGCGTCCAGAAGAAGGACGACACCAAAATGAACATTGAGGGGATTCTGGGCACGATAAAGAAACTGCAGCGACAGCAAAGCAACCCCAACCAGAAGCAGAACCAAGACGAGGACGAGGATGAGGCTATGGATGTGGATGTGGCTATGGAAGTGGATGAAAAGGAGCTGCAGGGAAAGAAAGAGCTGAACAGCAAGCTAAAGGAGATCCAGGCAAGCAGCTTTGCGGGCACAATGGATCACATTCGGTCCCAACTGACAATGCCCACGGTGAGCGCCCAGGCAGATCCCGGCTCCGTGGATCTGGCCAAATACTTTCCTAACCAGAAGCCGGAGAAGAGCGCCGCCCTCAATACGAACAAGAATCAGAAGACGCTGAAGGATGTGGATCTGGCCAAGTACTTTCCCAGCAGTCCGGCACCGCAGCGTCGAACCGTGGAGACGGTGGCCGATCGACTGAAGAAATCACAGACAGAGGCCTCGCTGGCCAAGACCCAGGCACAGGCACAGACACAGTCGAAGCCTGCCAAGGAGGGCGAGGAAAAGGCAAAGGAAAGGGAAAAGGAAAAGCCAGTGCCACCCAAAAGGCAGGCATCGCTGAACACTTTCAGCTTGCGAGAGCACCAAATGGATGGGGCACTGGATCTGACCAAAAAGAAGGTGACGCCCGTGAAGGTGCCCAAGACAACCGGCAAACAGCTGGCAGGAGCCACAGCAACAGCAACAGCCACCGCAACAGCCACAGCTACAGGCAAAGGCAAGATTAAGATTATTAAGAAAATTGTGCCCAAGGGAACAAAGGCCAAGAAGGCGGCAGCCGCACAAGAGGCAGCCGCAGCCGCTGCCTCTGCTGCAGCCAAAGCAGTCGAGAAGCAGCCGCCCAAGGACGAAGCCGAACGCATCCTGGACGAGATATTGGGTGGCGATGGGGAGGTGCGCTCGCCCAGCAGCGAGTATCAGCGGCTCTTCCAGGACGAAAAGTCGCCCAGCGATTTGTCGGACAACATCGATCGCATACTCGAGGAGTGTGGGCTGGATCTGGAGCTGGGACTGCCGCGGCGCAGCAGCAAGAAGCTGCTCAAGACCAAGTCCCTGGGCGAAGGTGACTTTGAGCTGAAGCCCAGTGGCAGTGGCAGTGCCAGCTCGCAGCTGACGGGCGTGCAGAACATCCTGAAGCGGTTCGAGTCGATGAGTTCGGTGGCCTCGTCCACGCACAACAGCGACGAGCAGGCGGCCTTCAAGCTGCGCCGCATGGAGTCGACCACCAGCAACCTGAGCAGCCTGACCCGCTCCCGTGAGTCGCTCGCCTCCCTGGCCAGCGACTCGATGAGCGATCTGGAGCGAACGATGGACTATCTGCGCAACGAGTGGCGCAACGAGGCCACCAACTTTCTGCAAAAGAAACGCGACAAGTTTTACGCCCAGAAGGCGGTCGAGCAGCAGGAAAGGAAGGCCGCAGCAGCGGATCCCCTGCGGGATCTGCCCGTGCAGTATCGCGACTCCAAGCTGGCCAAATTCTTTGGCCTGGGCACGCGAAAGTCGCCCGAGAAGCGCCGGTCACCCATCAAGAAGACGACAAAGAAGAAGTCGCCCAGCCCCAAAAAGAGCCCAAAGGCGGCCGCAAAGGCCAACAATTCGCTGGAGGAGCTGGCCAAGATTGGCAGTGCCCGCCAGGCCAATCAGCAGGCGGCAAAGAAGTCCGCGCCGAAGGCAATGCCCCCCAGGCCACAGCTGAAACCGGCCACACCAGTGCCAGATGACTTTGAGGTGCTGGATCTGCTGCAGAAGGCCACAGAGGCCAAGGAGCTGGTGGAACGTTCCAAGACAAAGAGTCCAGCCATCAAGGGAGGAGCCACAAGAGGGGCCAGTGGCAGTTGCGGCGCCAGTTGCTGCTCCTCTGCCCGTTGAGGACATCAAGAACCTGCCCAAGACGGGATGCGACAAGTCGCTCAATAGTTCGCGTCGCGGCTCGCAGTCGAGTCTGGTGTTGTCCAGACGCCAGTCGCTGGATATATCCCTCCAACAAGATGCTTTGGAGGCCCTAACCACCAGCCTGGAGCAGGCACAGGAGGAGCAGCAGCAGCAACAGGCACAAGAGGAGGCGCAGCACTTTGATGAACTCTTCCAGGACATGGTGGTGGAAGCGGATGAGCCACCCATCGATGAGGACTTGGATGCCGACTCCCTGTGCACCACCATCAGCAAGAGTCCCAGCGCCCAGCCCGTGACGGTGGTGAAACGTGGCAGCTCCGAGGATCAGAGCATCGAGAAGCTCTTCGGCCACTTTTCGGACGAGATGCTGGTGCAGGTGGAGTTCGATTCGAATGACGAACTGGTGGGCATAACACCCACGGTGGTGGGTGCTCCGATGCCAGCCAGCCGCTCGGCGGAGCGGGATTACTTGGACAAACTGGAGTCGCTGGAGCGGGATGAAGAGCCAGTGCTGGCGGGGGATGAAGAGCCAGTGCTGGCGCGGGACAGATTCCAGACAGATGATGACGATGATAATGATGATGCACCCCACGATGAGGTCGATGGCAGCAGCCATTTCCCCATGCGACCGCAGCGCAGGGCCAAGAGCAGCTCCTCCTCCAGTGAGCCATCGCTGCCGGCAGCATCCCAGCGGCTGCAGCAGAAGCTGGCGCGGCTAGATCCCGAGGATATGGCGCCCTCGGTGCAGGATTTGCTGCAGCAGGTGTACGCAGAGCCGCAGGACTTGGAGCCGGGGACAGCATTGAAGTTTCCCAGTTTGCTGATTGAAGAAGAAGATGTGGCAGTGGCAGTGGCAGACGCTGCAGAGGAACGCCACAAAGAAGGAGAGTTGGAAGCGGATGTCGCCCCAGTCGCTGTCAAGCCAGCAGCGACTGCGACTGCGACCAGTCAGAGCGGCAGCTCTTCCCGCAGCAGTCTCCTCGAAGTGCAGGCGCCCAAGGGGGCCATGGTGCCGTCTCGCAGCAAGGAGAACTCCCTCGACTGGGACATGGAGAAGCTGCCCGCCTCGCCCATGCCGCGTCGTCGGCTGCCGCAGACCCAGCTGACCCAGCAGACGGCAGCCAGCAAGGAGAGCTCCCTGGAGTGGGACATGGAGAAGCTGCCCAACAGTCCCATGCCGCCGCGACGCAACAACAAAGTGCGCAATGCCTCGCCCAGCAGCAGCAGCTCCATTCATTTGCTCAACAATCTGCAGTCGGATGCCGACGAGGAGGTGGCCCAGCGACGTCTCATCGAGGACTTTGAGCGTGAGCGTCGCCAGGCTCTGATCCGACGCGACGAGAGCTTCGAGGCGACGGCCGCAGAGCAGCGCAGACGCGACTCCCTGCAGAGCAGCAACAGCAACGGCAACGGCAACAACAATTCCAGCAGTAAGCGCAGCCTGCCGCCACCCACACCCCCGCCACCAGCGGCGTCCTCAGGCAAGATGAGCAGCAGCAGCAGCGTGGCCCGTCGTGGGGATACCAAGCACGAGGGCACGCCGCCCATGTTCAAGAAGCTGGAGCTGGACAACGAGAGCAGCTGTGTGACGACTCCCCTGGACTCGACGACCACCTGCTCGACGCGTCGCAGCTCGTTTGCATTTATAGAGTTACAGGACAACAAGCCGGTGATTGTGCCGATGCCCAGGAAGCTGAAGCTGCCGAAGCTGCAGCAGCCCAAGTTTGTGCCCGAGCCGGTGGCCAGCGACGAGCCCGTGCCGGAGGTCTTCCAGGGCCGAGCCTGGCCCAAGGTGCAGATCGAGGGCGTGTCCGCCGGCCTGGACAGTGATGCCGAGCCGGATGAGGAGGCCGCGAAGCAGCTGCTGCCGGACTACGCGCGCGTCGGCGACTCGCCCCCAGCGGCGGCATTCAAGAACCGCAAGTGGCCCGATGGCAAGACGATCTTTGATCAGAATCAGACAGCTGCCGTAGGTATCGATGATGATGATATACTGGGCCAATATTTGGAGGCCAGGCGGCGGATGTCCAAGCACAAGCCGCGCTCGCAGTCACCGCAGCCGTTCAAGCCGCTCTCCAGCAGCTCCAGGCAGAGCTCCAAGTCGTACAGCGACCTCAAGAGGGTGCCACGAAGCGATCTGCAGTCGCTGTCGGCACGCACCAGCCAGGACACGGACACGGACACGACGACGACGCACTCCACAGCCACCACAGTGGCGACGGTGGCCACGGCACGGCCCGTCAGTTCCTATGTGAACTACGACGAGCCGGGGGACGCCAGCATGCGGGCGCTGCTCGATCGCAGCAAGCGGCTGCACAATCGCAAGCGAGAGTTTGTCAACGAGCGGGTGGTGGAGCGCAATCCCTATATGCGTGAGGTCATACGCAGCACGGACAGACGGGCGTCGGACGAGGATTTGGCCAGCTACAGGCCGCGTCACTATGCCAGTCCCAGCACAACGAGTCGCTTCCCCAGCACCAGCACCAGCAGCACGCTGCGCAGCAACTACGCAGACTACCTCAGTCCCAGCAGCAGCAGCGCCACCACCACCGGCGACTACCTCAGCAGCAGCAGCAGCCACCACCACCACAGGAGACCCTACTCAACGCTGGGTCTCACTTCGGGGAGCAGCTACTATCCTCCGAGCAGTGCATCTGCCACACCGCGCAGCTCCCATTTGAGTGATCTGTTCAAGCCGCGACGCAGCCCCGTCTCCAGCTACGGACGCAGCAGCGACTACAGCCTGCCCCTGCACCAGCCCGCCAGCAAAGAGTCGTGCGTTATCTCCTAAAGCAAAAGCAAAGCAAACCCAAATTAAAATTCTCTTTTTTACATATATATATTTAACCCGTTAATGCCCAGACGACGCCTCAACTACTATCTCTACTGAGGGCACGACCAAGCCCCAGCCAACCAGCAGACCCAGACCCGCCCCCAAGAAACCAACACCCCCCCACCACACACCCACCCAAAACACTAGACACAGAACGCACGTATAGGTCCGTCCAAAAAAGTAGATCAACAATCCACCAAAAACAAATCAAATAAAAACAAAAACCAAACAACCGCCCGCCCGCCTGCCTGTTCGCCTGCCTGCCACACGTGTGTGGCACGTACGTGTGCCACCTCTTGTTAGCCTCCAAAACAAAAAACCAAAAAAGAGTATAAGAAATGCATCTGGGGTACGATCTATGAAGGTAAATTCAAGCAATCCACCAAAAATATACACGAAAATGTTGCGCCTAACCCACGAGCAGCCCACAGAGTTTTGAAGAGTTTTGTAGTCCCTAAAAATGCACACAAACACAAAATGCAAAGCAAATACAAATAATGGAGCCTCCGTTGAGGAGCCATTGTCCATTTGTCGTGTGTCTGTCCATTGCCTAACCCCCAAGCCTGCTATACATATGCGTACTCTACTCAACTCTACTCCGATCTACTACCAAATGCTGACCAATGTCCAATGAAGTTCTAATCCAATCCAAAGTGTTGTTTCCTGTTTCCTGTTGCCGTTTCTGTTACGTTGTTGTACCCTTCTGGATCGTACCTAAAGGCATGATAATGCTGCTGTTGCTGTTGCTGCTGCTGTTGCTGCTGATTAACCTCTCTGATTATATCTAAACTCTGACTAACGCATGTACTCGAAGCTCGAAGCTCGCAGCTCCAAGCTCCTTTCAGCTAGCTGCCATAATGCCCCACGTTGCAGCGTGTTTTTCTTTCACGTTTATTGTTTGAACTGATCTTTGGCCTGCCCTGCCACTCGTTAAATTAATCCATTTCTTGCGCCCCGTAACTCTTGCAGGTACAAACCGAATCCGAGAGCACATCCCCCGACGAGATTGAGCTCAATTCTGCCACTGAAATATCCACCGATTCCGAGTTCGATAACGATGAGATCATACGTCAGACGGCGCCGAAAATCTTTATCGATGACACCCATCTAAGAAAGCCCACAAAAGTCCAGGTAAGCGCGAGCAGCGGAGTGCCTTGAGTGTCTTGATCCTTAAATCTTCCCTTTCCACAGATCAAGTCCACCATGATCACACCCAATGCTGCTGCTGCTGCTGCCGCTGCTGGCTCCGTGCCCGGACTACATGAGAAGCAACTGGCGGCACGCGAGAAGGGCGGCAGCTATCTGAAAAAGTATCAGCCCCAGCCGCCGCTGCCGCAGTTCAAGCCGCTGGTCCAAGTGGATCCCACACTGCTGATTGGCAGTCAGCGTGCCGCTGCTGCTGCTGGTGCTGCACCGCTCCAAAATCCCCGTCCCGGCGACTATCTGCTGAACAAAACGGCCAGCACCGAGGGCATTGCCTCGAAGAAGAGCCTGGAGCTGAAGAAGCGCTATCTGCTGGGCGAGCCGGCCAACGGCAACAAGATCCAGAAGTCGGGCTCCACCTCGGTGCTGGACTCGCGCATCCGCAGCTTCCAGTCGAACATCTCCGAGTGCCAGAAGCTGCTGAATCGCAGCAGCGACATCAGTGCCGGCATGCGCAGCTTCCTCGATCGCACCAAACTGGGCGAGCAGCAGCCCAGCAACGAACTGATGCGCTCGGCCACCAGCACTGTGATCAACGATCTGCGCGTGGAGCTCGAGAAACAGAAGGCCCCCACGCCCTCCAGCAACTCCACGGACAACGAGAAGGAGAATGTGTTCGTCAACTGCAAGAACGAGCTGAACAAGGGCATGGAGTACACGGATGCCGTGAATGCCACGCTCCTCGAGCAGCTCAATCGCAAGAGCCAATCACCCACGACGCCCACGAACAACCACGCCCCCCCCAACACGACTGTGATCGAGGTGATTGATCTGGTGACGCCCGAGACGAAGCAGCCCCCGCTGCTGACTGGCGAGATTATTGATCTGACGCTGGCGCTGGAGACACCAAAGAAACCCAAAATCGATGGCACCGACAGCAACAAGTTGAGCGAGCAAGCAGCAGCAGCAGCAGCAGCAGCTGGAGGAGAAGCAAAAGCAGAGCAAAGAGGAGGATGAGAAGCACGAGCAGGAGCAGGAGGAGGTGGCCAAGCCAGATGTCTCCAAAGATGTGAAAGAGTGCATACCCGACATACTGGGCGACATAAAGGCCGGCCGCAAGCAGGCCAAGGGCACGGGCACCGAGGAGCAGCAGAGTCTGCTGTCGGATGAGGAGAAGCGCGACTCGCCCGAGAAGGAGGAGCAGTACGAGCCGGACACTGTCCAGATACAGGTGCCCAATATACCCTGGAGCAAGCCAAAACTTGAGCCCATGTCCACAACCGGCAGCAGTGGCGGCACCAGCTGCTCCAGCTCGTCCAACACCTCCAGCATCGAGGACATACAGCACTACATACTGGAGTCGACGACCAGTCCCGACACCCAAACGGCAGGCGGCGGCGGCGGCAAGCACAATGTGCCACGGCTCGAGGTGCACGACACGAGCGGCGCCCTGATGCAGGTCGACAGCCTGATGATTGTCAATGGCAAGTACATTGGCGATCCGGAGGATGTCAAGTACCTGGACATGCCAGCCGATGTGATTGTGCCGCCAGTTGCGGCCCTAAAGACCAACGAACTGGAGGAGCCAGACGATGATCACGATGCGGATGTGGAGCCGGTGACGGCCACTCCGGAGCCAGCCGAGTGCACGGTTATCGAGGCAGAACGAAAGGCGCCGCCTCCTCTGCCTGAGATGGGACCGCCGAAGCTCAGGTTCGACAGCAAAAACGAGAACAAAATTGAGAGCCTGAAGAATCTGCCGCTGATCGTGGAGCGCACGATGGTGGAGCACAGTCAGGCCGTGAAGCCCATCACCCTGAATCTGAGCAGTGCGGCAGCCCGAACGCCCGATACGCCGACCACTCCCACAGCCCATGACAGCGACAAGACGCCCACCGGGGAGATGCTGTCGCGCGGCTCCGACTCGGAAACCGAGCCCACTGGCACGGGCACGGGGACGGGCCAGGTGCTGACAGAGACGGAGCTGTCCGACTGGACGGCCGACGACTGCATTTCGGAGAACTTTGTGGACATGGAATTCGTGCTGAACTCGAACAAGGGCACGATGAAGCGGCGCAAGGAGCGCAGGCGTAGCGGCGCCGCAGCCCGGCTGCCCAGCGGCAGCCAGGTGATCCATGAGCTGGCACGCCAGGCGCAGGCGCCGGTGGTGGAAATGGAGGGCATACTGAGTGCCATCGATATCGATGACATCGAGTTCATGGACACGGGCTCCGAGGGCTCCTGCGCGGAGGCCTACTCGGCCACGAACACGGCCCTGCTGCAGAATCGCGGCTACATGGAGTACATCGAGACGCAGCCGAAGAGAGTGGCGCTGAAGCCAAGCCAGGCACCAGTGCCGGGTGCAGGGGCAGGCACAGGCACAGTCGTGGCCATGCCGCCGCTGGTGACCAAGCGGGATGAGAAGCTGGGCATCGATTACATCGAGCAGGGGGCGTACATCATGCACGACGATGCCAAGACGCCGGTGAACGAGCAGCTGCCAGCCGCAATGACCCAATCGCTGACGGATTCGAGCACACTGAACGATCTGGATGACGACAGCATGGCCGGCTCGGGCATGGGTCTGTCCCAGACGATGCCGACCACCACGGAGGAGAGCGAGGCGCTGACGGTGGTGACCAGTCCGCTGGACACCTCCTCGCCGCGAGTGCTGGATCAGTTTGCCAGCATGCTGGCCTCGGGCAAGGCCGACTCCACGGCCAGCAGCTCCGAGCAGCAGCCAAAGACGTCCACAGTGACAACCAGCAGCAGCAGCATCAGTGGCGTCGGTGTAGGAGGAGCCAACAACTCGACACCGGGCCATGAATCCAAAGAAGTCGCCGCCGCCGCTACACAGGATGAGGATCTGCAGATCCAATTCGAGTATGTTCGAGCCCTGCAGCAGCGAATTTCGCAGATAAGCACGCAGCGTCGCAAGAGCTCCAAGGGGGAGGCGAACACAACTGTGATAGAACCAGCCGAGGCCCAGCTTCAGCTTCAGCCGCAGCACCCGCAGCCGCCGGATAGTCCAGAGATGTCAGCGATGCGACCCAGGAGCAGCAGCAGCTCCAGCAAAGTGCCTGAGATACCGACGCTCAGCAGCAAGCTGGAGGAGATCACCAAAGAGCGCACCAAGCAGAAGGATCTCATCCATGACCTGGTCATGGACAAGCTGCAGTCGAAGAAGCAGCTCAATGCCGAGAAGCGTCTGCACAGGAGTCGCCAGCGCAGCCTCCTCACCAGCGGCTATGCCAGCGGCGCCAGTCTCAGTCCCACGCCCAAGCTGGCCGCCGCCGCCAGCACCCACGACTCGAACTGCTCCAGCCAGGCGCACTACCATGCCTCCTCCACGGCGGAGGAGAAGCCAGCAATCGCAGTCGCCATTGCCACTGCCACTGCCCCAGCGGCCGGCAATCCCCTGCAGAAATCGGCCACGGTCGCCTATGTGTCGCCCTATCGCACCGTCCTGCCGCCCACGCGCAGCGCCGATCTGTACAAGCCGCCGCGACCCTTCAGCGAGCACATCGATGCGCATGCCCTCGAGACCGGCTACAAGCTGAACAAGACGGCCTCCTTCAACAGCGGCAGTGGCCGTGGGCCACGGGTGGGCGACTTCATCACCCCCATTGCGCCGGCACGTTCGCATCGCGGTGGAGGAGTCGGAGTGGGCATCGTTCCCTCCGTGGAGATATCTGTCTCAACGGAGAACCTGAGGAGCGAGGCCCGCGCCAGGGCCCGGCTCAAGTCCAACACGGATCTGGGTCTGAGTCCCGAGGAGAAGATGCAGCTGATGCGCAAGCGTCTGCACTATGACGCTGCCAGACCACTCAAGCCCAAGCAGCAGCAGCAGCAGCAGCAGGAGGAACCGCTGTGCGTGGATCTGGCGGCGCGTGCACGGAAAATGAGTGCCTCGAAGAGCGTCAACGATCTGGCGTATATGGTGAACAGCCAGCAGCAGGTGGGACACTCGAGCCTGGACAAGGAGGCCGTGGCCCAGGCCAAGGCAGCGGACTTCACATCCGATCCGAATCTGGCGGCCAGCAGCGGACACCAGGAGAAGGCAATGAAGACAAAGACAACCAGGCAAAAGGATCCCGAGCGACGCAAGAGTCTCATACAGTCGTTGTCCAGCTTCTTCCAGAAGGGCAGCCATTCGCATTCAGCGTCTGCGTCTGCATCTGCGTCGGCGTCCGCATCCACCAGTCCCAAAGAGCAGGGCGGCCCTGTGGCTGCCAGTCACTCTGAGCAATCAGAGCGTCCCGGCACCAGCAGCAGCGGCACGCCCACCATCTCCGATGGAGGAGCCAACAGTGGCGGCGGCGGCGGCGGCGTCTTCAGTCGCTTCCGTATCTCCCCGAAATCCAAGGAGAAGTCAAAGGTAAGTCTAAGTCTCCATTTCAAGTGCAGAAATGTTGTGTCTCTGGTTGTGGTCAATGTTTGTACACGACATCATCCTAGCCCTAAGATAAATAGATAAATGTCTCGAGGCATCGGTGTACTGTGCGCTAAGTGTTTCCATCTGCCATATAACATTTCGAAATCTTTCCATCAATTTACAGTCTTGCTTTGATCTGAGGAGTTTCGGTTTTGGTGTAAGAACTTTTTTCAATAATATTTTCTACTTAAATTTGACACTTCCCCCGCGCACCACACTAGAACACCTCACTCCAGCACAATCTTTGGCATGAAATTAATTCAAATGTATATCTAATGGTTGTTCAATTTTCATTTTATTTTTTACTCTCATGGGCTTTGGGCTTTATTTGTTTTTTTTTTTTTTTGTTTTCAACCCACAATTGCAAGAATCTTATTTTAATTTTGTTTTCCTTTTACTTTATTTTCATTTTCTTTTTACAAAACATTTCCAGCTAAAAATATTTAAGTAAATAAATTAACTTCTAAGTTTGCTGCCTTTCTGGTTCTACTCTACCCTCCACCTCCACCCTCTGTGCCTACCTTTTAATAACATTTATGTGGGCATCTTTAATTTTGTTTTAATTTCAGTTTATGTATATCGATTATGTGGGGTATTCCGGAAGCTGGGGATCCCCTTTCTGTTATGTGTTTTATAAAAGCTATTTTTATTTAATTTAAATGTAAGCATTATTTTGGAACGGGTTATGCTTCGAGTTCAATGTGCTGGATATTTTGCATGGATCGATGGATTCCCCCGAAGGATTCCATTCTGGTTATGGTAGACGAAATATTTGTTAAGTTTATTGTTATTTTCCCCTGGAAACCCTGCATGTTTACGATTATTATTTATATTTTCTAGTAAATAACAAATTTGTGTTTAATATGAGAACTGAAAATTGTTTACTCTTTTCCTACACACACACACACACACACATAAATCTTTCATACACAACCATAATTATACTCTGTATATTCTGATACATTTAAATATTATTCAAAATACAATGACACATTAGGACAAGGATGTGCTGCTCATCGGTAATGCCACAAACGGCACAAATGCAGCAGCAGCAGCTGCAGCAGCAACTGCCACAAGATCACAGACAAATAACTCGCAAGATTATCTGAACACCACAACAAACAACAGTCGATATCGAAAGCAAACGAACACTGCGAAACCGAAATCCGAAACGTTCTCATCATCCAGCCCGCAGCTCTACATACACAAGCCCCACCACCATCTGGCCGCAGCGAATGCCCTGGACGATCAGACACCGCCACCCATACCGCCATTGCCACTGAATTATCAAAGATCCGATGGTTTGTTGCTCTCATTTTATGTGTCCAGCCCCCCCACCCTTCCTAACTATTCGATTCGTCTCTCAATGTCTCAACGAATATCAAGTGCATCCAGCTGCCGTTTTTAATGTGTGTTTAATGTGCTTTGTAGATGAGAGCTACGCTAACGAGACACGAGAGCATAAGAAGCAGCGTGCCATATCGAAGGCTTCACGACAGGCTGAGCTCAAGCGACTGCGAATCGCTCAAGAAATACAGCGCGAACAGGAGGAGATTGAGGTGCAGCTAAAGGACTTGGAAGGACGCGGCGTACTCATTGAGAAGGCCCTGCGGGGCGAGGCGCAGAACTTTGAAAAGTGAGTAACCAGCATAAAATATAGAAATTGCTATTAAATCATAATTTCCCTTGCAGCCTGGACACATCCAAGGACAACGATGAAAAACTACTTAAGGAATTATTGGAGATTTGGCGGAACATCACAGCACTCAAGTGAGCAAAGCAATCAAGTGGATTCTCTGGAATGAAATTAATTGGCTTTGTTTTTATTTGTTTGGCCCAGGAAACGCGATGAGGAACTGACCATAAGACAACAGGAACTGCAACTGGAGTATCGGCATGCCCAGCTCAAGGAAGAGCTCAATCTGCGCTTGTCCTGCAACAGTACGTCCCATCGAAAGATACGAAAATGACAGTAACATTTTGACGAACGAATTTCAAATTTTTCAGAACTAGACAAGAGCTCCGCCGATGTGGCCGCCGAGGGTGCAATACTCAATGAGATGCTGGAAATTGTGGCCAAACGGGCGGCACTGCGTCCGACGGCCTCACAGCTGGACCTAACTGCAGCGGGTACTGCATCGACCTCAACCGAGGCGGCGGGCATAAAACTGACCGGCCAACCGCATGACCATGAAGAATCGAATGTGAGTGTTGGTGCCCCAAGCCAAATATGCAACTGAAATAATCCCTTTTTCGCACATTTATTTTTCGGTTCTTGAAATAGATTTGAAAAAGAAACTTTCCCTGGAGTTTGGTGGCGCCACACATTTGGGCAAAGGCATGGATTTTTAAGCCCAATTACTTAATAAGAACAAAGAGAGAAACGTACCAAAAAGTCAGCTGAACATTTACACCTACAAAACCAATAATACTAAAACGCATGCGAAGATGTAACGGAAAAGGAAACGAGCAAAAAACCTATTCAGAGTGATTTAAGCTGGCAGAGAAACAATTTCAATATACAATATACAAAATATTATATTTACAATAAGTAGAAGGAGTAAAGAATTTCAGTGAAGAGAAGAGAAGCGCGCAAGATCAATGTAAAAACTAAAAGAAAAGAACAAACAAACATTAGGAGGCGAAATCGAAAACAAAAAACAAAACCAAAAACTAATTTTTTTGCAACTTTAAAATGTTTTTGGAGAATATTTAAATTATATATATTTTTTACACGTATCGCCGCAAATATATTTTTATTAAGTTGTGCAGAGAATTCGAGTGAAATCTGCTTGATCTTTGTATATGTTGTGTTTTTTCTTTCTTTTTTTTAAATGTAACGAGTTTGATCTTATTTTGGAAATGTGAATTATGTGCAAAAGCTTTGTGATCCTGAGCAATTGTAAATGTTGTATTTGAGTTGTTGTAAGGTTATCTTTATTTTGTCTACTATTTCTGTGTATATGTACAACCGTCTCAATGTATTAATATTTATTTGAAAAAGCACCACACACCCTACACACGCATTAACCAACAGCACATCCATGTCCATGTATGTAATATGTCATTTGCTGCCCCCAGAACCAGAACAAGAATCAAAGTGAACACAAATATATACACACAAATATTTTCTATATGCGAGAGAGAGCGTACATAAAGGATAACGATATATAAAGGAGGCAAGGCAAACATTTACTGTATACTAATGAAATGATTTAAATTATTGTGTAATTTTATTTATAGCCTGCATATATAAAACATATTTATCGAATTTATTATGTAACTTTTCGATTTATTTTAAATTGAATAAAGATTTTATGAAACCTATGCCGCAAGCCATATTTGGAGCTCCCGTTAGCATTTGGGATTCGAACAGGGGATGGATGTTGGGGTTATGTCGCTCGTCTCGGTTCTACAATTTTTGGCCGCTTGAACCGAAATTGGTTTTTCGTTTTGTTTTGAGGGCTGATGAAGCGACCTGAGCTGACCTGCCGCCACATAAATGAGGAATGGTCAAAGTGGGTGGGGGTGGGAAATAAATACTTTTGTTAGCGAGCAATTCGTATTTTAGGTTTCATATCGGTCAGCTTTTGTCAGCAAGCAATTAGAATTATTCATTTCATATCGGTCAGCTCTTGTCAGCGAGCAATTCAAATTCTTCGTTTCATATCAGTTAGCTTTTGTCAGCGAGCAATTCGAATTTTTCGTTTCATATCAGTCAGGTTTTGTCAGCGAGCAATTCGAATTTTTCGTTTCATATCGGTCAGCTTTTGTCAGCGAGCAATCCGAATTTTTCGTTTCATATCGGTCAGCTTTTGTCAGTGAGCAATAAGACTTCTTCGTTTCATATCGGTCAGCTTTTGTCAGAGAGCAATTAGAATTTTTCGTTTCATATCGGTCAGCTTTTGTCAGCGATCATTTAGAAATTTTCGTTTCATATCAGTTAGCTTTTGTCAGCGAGCAATTCGAATTTTTCGTTTCATATCGGTCAGCTTTTGTCAGCGAGCAATAAGACTTCTTCGTTTCATATCGGTCAGCTTTTGTCAGAGAGCAATTAGAATTTTTCGTTTCATATCGGTCAGCTTTTGTCAGAGAGCAATTAGAATTTTTCGTTTCATATCGGTCAGCTTTTGTCAGCGAGCATTTCGAATTTTTCGTTTCATATCGGTCAGCTTTTGTCAGCGAGCAATTCGAATTATTCGTTTCATATCAGTCAGATTTTGTCAGCGAGCAATTCGAATTATTCGTTTCATATCAGTCAGCTTTTGTCAGCGATCAATTCGAATTTTTCGTTTCATACCGGTCAGCTTTTGTCAGCGAGCAATTAGAATTTTTCATTTCATATCAGTCTGCTTTTGTCAGAGAGCACTTACAATTTTTCCTTTCAAATTAGTCAGCTTTTGTCATCGAGCAATTATAATTTTCGTTTCATATCAGTCAGGTTTTGTCAATGAGCAATATAAACATTTTTTTTTTTGTTTTTTTTTAATTTTTATTACATTTTACATTTTTCCTAAATTTTTACATTTTGTTTACATTTTTAAATTATTACTAAATTTGTAAATTTTTATTGATGTCGATCCCAAGTATCAACTGAATTAAGAAATGTCTCGCAATTAGATGGACGGATATTCCCACGTATTTCATCGGCATCGATGTGCCCGGGCTAGAGGAAACTTATGGTTGAGGGTATTCTTCGCTTCCACCTGCAGCTGGTAGCCCGCGGCTCCACTTTTATTGTACGAGTTACTGCCTCTCGCATATTTCGGCTACATATCTGGCACATCTATATACTGTATGGTGTCCCAACCGATGCGAAACAACGAAGCATGTTCCTCAAGGTTGTGAAAATACTAGTTCTGTGGCCAATTCTATTTGGCAGGATTTTCTTAAAAATTTCAAATTGAATTTAACTGGCGAGTGCTGCCACATTTCTTGAACAAGGTGGCAGCGCTCACGGCTGTTTACGTTTCATAGCGAATGGCCAAACAAACAAACAAGCGCGTTTCTAAAGGAATTGCGCAAAAAAAAAAAAGCATTTTGGCTGAAGATTACAATAAATATGGCTGAAGAGCAATTGAAGGCAGATGCTGCAAATCCCGCACCGACATCCGCAGCCACCAACGAACCTGCAAAGACGCCAATGAAACCAAATCCGCCCACACTTCTCTCGGCATCAGCAGCTGCCGATGATGGAGAGCAGCAGACAGAAAAGGCGGTCCAGGCTGCGGCCTACAGCATGCGACCGGCGTTTGGGGAGATGTTTCCTCTGCCCATTGTGAAGAGCATCATGAACAGTGTCATGGCCGAGAAACTGAAAGGTGAGAGTGGAAAAATCGATTGCCTGGGCGTACAACAAGCATCGCTAAGCAACTGGTTTCGATTCGCAGACAAGACATACGACAAGGACGTGGCCAAGACATGGACGCTCGAGATAGCCGATGAGGTGAATCAGAAAATAGCCTCCAATCCCAAGGTGAGGCGCTACAAGCATGTGGTTCAGGTGATGCTTGGCCAGGAGCTCGGTGCCGGGGGCTTTTACAATTCGCGCTGCTGCTGGGACTGCGACTGTGATACCTCCGTCTCCGAGGTGTTCACCAATACCAGTATATTTTGTGTGTGCACTGTCTTTGGCACCTATCAGTACTGAAACAAACACGACCAGCCGGTACGACTCAACTCACCCTCACCAGAACTGATTAGGATAAGAAAAACCCTTACTATATTTATTCTTAGCACGGTGAGAGCGTCAGCAGTGGATTATATTACATTATATTTACATTTACAACTAGTTTGTGTTTGATTTTTGTTTGTATTGCAGATTAGTAGGCACCAGGAAACAAGGGAACAACGACCCAACTTCGCGACCTTCGTCTTGCATCATTGGATGCGCACATTCAATGGATTCAGTATGCGGCCCGCCATCACAGCCACGTCCAGCTCTCGGTCGATGATGAAAAACAGAAATGGATGGTTCACAGATATCTGAATGGGTTTCGTTTGAGCACCGTAGTTGCCTGAGATCACAAAAAAAGGGGAAGTAGTTATTGCACCTTTGTCTAGCTGCTACTGCGCTACTGTTGCCGCAATCGCTGGAGTTTCAGGTGGGGCTATGGCGATGCACGTTGCGCGTTGCGCCTCAATGCCTCCGTTCAGGTGTGCTGCAACTGCAGATACTGCAAGTACTTACGCTTTAGTTGATTGATGGGATGCGTACGAATGTTTACGTCTATCGATTGCTCAATGTGTCGCACGTAGACGCCTTTCTCATCAGTCATGGGTCGAAAATCGGCGCGATTTGGCTCGAAGACATCACAGCTGCAACGAGAGAGGGAAGGGAGACCGAAAGAAAGTAAAAGTGGCATCCAGCATCACACGCCCCTAGCAAGCCGCTTACATGCCCATCTGCAACACAACCAAAGCATAGATATAAATCTCAATAAATGTATTTTCACCTGGATTCGGCGCAGTGCGCACTTACATTCTGCAGATCGTTGGTCAGGAACATGGTGCCGTGCAGCTTAAAGTCCGGTATGATGGCCTGCACCCACCGTGGCTTCAGCTGCTTGCGCATCAGCCGCAATGTGGGCCCCAGCTTCAGCGATGCCGCCGCAGCCACAATGTCCGTGTGGTAGTCGGGCAACAGAATCATCAGATTGTACTCGGGCGTGTCCAGCTCCAGCTCCAGGACGCTCATCTTCAGATGCTCAAAGTACTTGTAGTACAGCACAGCGTTGTACACCTTGAATGTGGTGTGCACGATCTGATGGCTGCCCAGGTAGAACACATGACTGATGACGTCCGTGTTGTAGTTGGATTTGCTCTCGGCCGCCTCGCTGATGAAGTGCGGCTCAAAGTCGTTGTGGATGGGCGCAAAGGCGCCCGATGGCGGATATTGAAACGGATGTGGCGCTGGCTGTGGTCCTTGTGGGTGGAAGAGCGTCAGAAAGAGATTCGAATCCAGTTCCCTGTACGGCAGAGCGTGTCGCTTGTGCCTGGACACCTTGGCCTTTCTCGCGTACGAACCATTGGCCGACGGCGGAGCTGAAATGGAAATGATCTGTCGTGTGTTTGGCGCCTTCCTCTCCGCCACCTGTCTGGCCATCATGGGCATGGTCGCTGTCCGCGCACTCGGCAGATAGATGGGCTTCGGCGTGATCGGATTGGAGTGCTTGAGCGGCGCCTGCAGCTTGCTGGTGGGCAATCGGGAGACGCGTGCCTTTTGTATGCGCAGCAGCGGCTCGGCCTCCTCCTCGGCCACGAATGCGGACACCAGCTCAGCGGCCTCATCCTCGCCAGCGGGCTCCGCCGTCTCCTCGCCGGATGACTCTGTCGGTGGCTCGGTGGTTGCCTCCGGCGCTTCTGTTGTCGGCGCTTCTGTTGTCGGCTCTTCTGTTGTGGTCGTTGGCTCCTCTGTGGTTGTGGTGGTTGTGGGTGCCTCCGTGGTCGTCGTGGCTGGCACCTCAGTGGTGGTTTCCACATCCCTAACCGTGCTGCTGGTGGTGGTTTCAGCTTCTGCATCCTCGGTTGTGGCATTGCTGCTGCTTGCCGTAATATTTGCTGGCGTGGAGGACGCCATATCCACACTCAGATCGTAGCCGTAGAACATGAGCACCGTCTCAAAGTCCTTCAAGACCGTCACATTGTTTTTGTTCATGCTGAGCCCCTTCAGTGGGTTGTCGGAGCCAAAGAAATAGGTCTGCAAAAAGATACAATTAAAATTATTCCAATCTTTGTGCTCTATTTGGGGGTAAATGTTAATCCCATATGCACATAATTGCTGCCAATTAAACACTCTATTCACTTGGACAATTGCTGGTCCACTTATTGGAGCGGAGGTCAATGCACTATTGAAACCAAAGCCGATAACAGATCGCTTTCGAGTGGTCATAGGCAATTGGCCTCTAAGCCCCTCGGGCAGTTTGTTTGGAACCATTCTTTTTATTGTATTATTCTATTTCTATTTTTTGTTTGTTTATCAATGACCACTCCACCAGCTCGCTCTGCTCTGCTCGGCTCAATGTGTGCTTAGCCAGCCATGTAAATGAGAGCTTTGGCATTTCATTTGGATAGTTTTGAGAGTGTGCTCTGTGCCACTCACTCTGCGGGCTGTAGGTTAAGTTCAGCGCTGAATGAATACAATAAGTGGGCCAGCAGTCAGCCAGCCAGCCAGCCAAGTCTCACCCGCAGTCGTCGATGGATGTCGCGGTATCCCACGCGAATGACGTCACGATTGTTGGGCAGCTGCAGCACGTTGCGCAGCTCGTTGGCACTGTTGCCGGCGGAACCCTCGTAGAGGGCCACCAGGACACTGACCAGAGCCGTCGGCGAGAAGGCAAAGTTATTGCGATTGAGTATGGAGTGGTAGTGCAGCAGGCGGTGGGTGAGGTCATTCGTCAGATCGACCATCACCTCCGCTGGGGTCAGCTCCTTGGTGGCCTGCACCTGTGGCAGGTGATCGAGCAGTGTCACCGGTGGGGGCGGGAAATGTGGATGCGGAAAGCCGCTGGCACGAAACTCCTCGTGATCGATTTGTATGTAGTGGGCTGGGGCGCAGAGGAGGATGTGGGCGTGGATAGCCAGCCACAACGCCAGCGAGAATCGAGGCATAACGATGCAGTTGACCTTGCCCAGTTGGAGCGGAGCTGATAGAGCGCAGTTAACACTTTTTGATTGTCGCGTTTGCGGCTTATTTTATTTTTTTTGTTTGGCTTGTTTTAAGCGTTTTATCGAGCGTTTTTGCGAGCTTGATACGTATTCATAAATTGCACTACTCTCATTATTTTTCGCCCTGCTGCCAATTTCAAATCAATTAGCTGAATTGAGAGCCCTCTCCGCTAATGTCAAGGTGATGACTATTTGGAAATTTGTCAACCGTCAAGCGGATCGCGTTTTCCACATAGTTTTTCCAGCTTCGATACGTTGGTTGGTTGTTTGGTTGGTTGGGAATTGTTTCGGGCTGGGCTGGGCTTCGAACCGATGCGCGTGATTGCTGCTGCCAAACTGAAACGGCGGCCCAAGCGCCACTCTGCTAAATAAAGTACGAAAATCCGATTGATCCGCATGGTTTCGGCCCTCCAACTCTGCTGGCGGTTCGGGTTCGCGTTTCGCGTTTCGGCCAGCAGATGTCCCATGGCAATTGTTGGCCAAGGGTGGGCTATACACACACACACAGATACAGTGAGGTTACAGACCAGCTAGACGTCATACGTCATAAGTGCTACTCATTTCACTAATGAAGAGGATTATCTTAGTGATAATCTGCCGCTGTGGACTTGGCCACTAATGAAATAGTGCACTGAATCTGCAGCAGAGCAGTTACTGGGGAACTTTTCAGTCAGTGGAATATATTCCGTGGCCCAAGCAGTGTCTGTCGGTGCAGAGCAATATCCTACAGCCCTGTCTATTGCCTGTCTATTGGGTTAGAAAGGATTTATAAAAAAGTGAACTACATAATTGAATAATGCCTGAGTTGGTTTGGTCATGTCATCGCTGAAACGTCTAATCCAACTGAGCTTTGGCTACTTCTGTGCCCTGAACGGAGTCGTGGCGTTTTATTTTGCATTTAATTCGGGCAAATTGCATTGGTCCCGCTGCCTGGGCTACTATCGCATTGTTCACAACTTCATTGTCGTCGGTCTAACAATTAAGTTTATATTGGACTTTTGGCAGTTCCATACCCACGTGGAGCTCGCAAGATCGAAGCTGATGGAGCTGAACACCTTTACCCACTTTACCATCGTTTTTCTGTCGCTTCTCAGCTGCATGGAGTGTGCCTACCGGCAGCAGGATCGCATCTACGCGATGCTGAACAAGCTCTTGGACCTGAATCGACTTGCCATAGAGCTGGGGTACATTGCTCCGGAGTCCCATCAGCGATATATCGGCTGTCTGGTGCTCTCTTTAACCCCACTGCTGGCGCTTCGCCTCTTTATTCATGTGGGCCTGAATGCGATTCGCACCAAATTGGGTTTCGATTTCCCCTGCAATTGCTTCTTGTCCGAGTGCATGATCCTTGCCATGAACTCGGTGGGATTCGGAATCATGGCAGAGATATGCCAGTGCTGGTGGAGACTGCAGACTGGACTGAAGCGGATTCTCCTGGATGATCCAATGCCAAGCCAGCTGAATCAGCTGCTGCAGCTGCAGCGAATGTACCAGTGCCTGATCAATATAACCGCAGAGTTCTGCACCGTCTTCAGGTTTGTGCTGCTGTGCTTTCTGGTGCGGAATGTCTGGTGTGGCATCGTGATCGGATATCTGCTCGTACGCATATTCTGTTGCCAGAGCGTTTCTGAGCTCCACCTCTATCAGCTCTATCTGGCGTTTGTCATCTGCATACAGCCTCTGCTCTATTCACTGCTCCTGAATTGTCTGACGCACACGACGGATTCGCTTATGGCGACAACCAAAGAGATTGTGAGGGAATCGCATGGCCATGAATATCTGGTGGAGCGAAGTGTGAGTATTCTCTCATTGAATGAGGTCTTGTAAAATTGAAATTGTCAAATTTAACAGATGCAGTGGTTCTCCTTGCAACTGGCCTGGCAGCACACAAACGTCCACGTGTATGGCACCTATCGCATCAATCGACGTCTGGTTTTTCAAAGCGCTGCCGTGATTCTACTGCACACCCTTTATATGGTCCAAAGCGACTACAGGTCTATGTGAGAACATTTCATTAAATAATAAAGAAAACTCGATGGGAGTGCGGTTCCTATTGACATTTTTCCACGCCAGGAAACCGCCAGTCTAAAACGAAATAATTAAATATTCAAACCTCTTTCGAACCTAACTCCTTTTTTAATAAAAAATACCAACGTTATTAGTTTTGAAAGTATCATTTTGCTTGTATCGTTTTTTCTTGTTATTTTTATTTTCGTTTTATTTTATTATAGAATCTTTACTTCGTTTGTTGTTTGCTTAACTCGTACAATTTTAGTGGTTCACTGTTTATTTTATTTTTTATTCTGATTGCGATTTATTGTATTAAAATCAACATTCATAAACACACATCCATTGAAATATTATTATTATTTTTTTATTTTTTTTTTTTTTTTCTGTTTTTTTTTTTTTTATGTTTTCTTTTTTTTTGTTCTTGCTTTTTGTTGTATATTTTCTTTCGTTTGCTTAAAATAGTTTTGAAAATGTAGTTTTGTTTTTTTTTTTAGGGGTTTTTCCTATGAGAATGATGTAAAAGTTAATGTGTGTGTGTGTGTGTGTGTGTGGTGTTGGAGTGTGTGTGAGTGATATAGATACATATGCAGAGAGAGGGGGACAGTGGAGAGACATTTATGTAGTACTCGTACAAAATGTGCACATCCTATGCAATGGCTGGACTGGCAATGATTGGTCTGGAAACGGAGCTTACGAGTAGTTCATGATGGGGTAATGTGAAGCATAAAAAGCCAACCGAGCAACAAGTACTTAATTAACTCTCTAACTCTCCTAGCTTGAGTGTATCCCGCACCTGTATGATCTGATCTGTACACTGGCTGTAAATATACAAATATAATATGCTGTTATCCTGTATATAAAGACGCAAAATATATCTGCTACATTCGTGTGTATGATCTGTAGCTTGTGTACGTACATACATACATTTCTATGTGTGTTGTTTCCCCTTTCCCCATTCGTTTTCGTTCAATTTTCTCGTACGAGTATCTCTAAAAATGTTTCTGTATCTGTATCTGCGCTTAAAACGTTTTGCATTTAGTTTCTGTTATTTTTTTTTTGCTGCACTTGCTGCACAATTTGCTTTGCAAAAAATATAGTTGCCACCACCCACCCCACCCTCGCCGATGGGCGCTACATATGGGCGGTGCAGGCTCTATCTATCTATGTATGTATCTCTGTCAGTTTCGTAGGTACTCGATTCTCACCAATGTTCAATTGAAGTGTTAAACATCTCTGTTCCTCCGTTTCTGTTACGGATATCGCCAGATAAGTAGGTTTACGATTAAGTATTGTATTGTATGTATGTAGGTAGGTAGGTAGGGGAGTACGGGGTCACAAGTGTTTGCTTGGTTTTGGGTCCTCGGGTAATTGTTTTGTTTGTTTTGTTTGTTTTGTTTGTTAGCTGCTCTCATTGCGGTGCTTGGGGTTGGCTAGTTTCTGGTTACTTTCTGTGGTTGGTAGGTTAAGCATATTTCACATTGAGACAACTGTATATATGTATGTAATTACTGGCTTTACACCTATGCACATCTATTTATCTGTATCTATATATGTATATATATCTAGGAGTACTCTGCATATATGTATAGGTATATGTATGCGTGAAGAGTCGTCATTGCCGTCAGAAAGGAGCTGCTTTTCTTGTTCTCTACTCATCATATATCGGTTAGATTATGTACATATATTATATATGTATATATATATTTATGTATGTATGTATAATTATTTGTTTTTATACTGCTGTAAGTTTAACATGGAATATACACGACACTTAGTTGCTGGTTAATTACTTGGTTTAGTTTTATTTTTAGTTTTTGTTTTTTGGTTTTTGTTTTCGGTTCGGAAATGCAAACTCAGTTATACTAACTTGTTAATTACACTTACTATGTGTTCTTGTTTCTTGTTTCTTGGTGTGTGTGTTTGTTTGTTTGTTTGTGTGTGTGTCTGCTTGCTTTCACCTGCTCCTGTCTCTGTGTCAGTGTCTGTGTGGGTGTCTCTCTTTTGTACCTTGTCATGCGGTGATCATATTTGCGCCAAATTCTTGCGACTGCTGCTCTCTCTTTAAAGTTCTATCCTAACTATTCCATTGGGGTGTAATTATATGAGTATCTTATGTAACAGCAAAACGAGTCAACAATTCAAACAAAACAGGGATGTGTGGATGCCATCAATTAAATTCAATTCAATTCAACTTAACATACATAATGAATGTCTCACAATCTCAATCCGATTGGGAAGTAAACTTTTCCATAGAGTTTCCTATAGATGTACTAGACACAACAACAATATATAGAGATTTTTCATTATTCATAGATTACGAACTATAGACAAATACGATTAGTTTCTGCAAATGTGGAAACGTGGCAATGATGAATGCTGGGTTGGGTTGGTATAGTGAGGGTTGGGAGGGGGGGGTGTGCTTATGTGCTGGTTGGGGGGTGGGTGGGGGTGCCCCTAATGTTACAATGGCGTACGTCTAAATTTAATCAAGTCAAGTCAAGTCATTCAAAGTATCTCTCATATCGCCTTAATCTTAATCAAACACGATCAACTAAACCGATTATTGTTAATGTTACAATATTTAAGTGTTAGGTATTAATTTTTATTAAATTTTAATTTTAATTTTACTTTTACTCTCGACGTGTCCCGTGTGTCTGGGTCGGTCTGAGTTTGCCAAAATGGTTGGGAATGCCCAGAACTAAAAGTCTCTTGAAATTAAGTTTACATTTAGCCAATTTTGAAGACATCTTGTGGTTCTATCCGTTCGCCAATCTATGCAAAATAATTGAATACAATTTATTGAATTAGCCATCGTCCGAAATGCTATCCTATACTCTCCTTTTAGTTTAAGTTTCATCAACAAAATTGTCTTGCCAATTATCATAAATTTAAACATGTAAAAAAGTTACAACACCTTCTTCCCGGGTAGAAAAACTTATTTAAAAACTATTATTGAAATTAATTTACGCTTTCACTTAGCTTAAGCGTCACTGTAGCTACAGCTGCAGCCAGCTCTCAGAGGCCTTTCTCAGATGATTTACATATCTCATTATACAATACATACGTACTATCTCTCTTCGTTTTTTGTTTTTTGTTGTTTTGGTTTGCTTTGAAGTTTCAGTCAGTTTACAAGAATGTCATATGTATACATCAAATACATGAATATTGATTGGTGTGTGGGTGGGTGGATAGGTGAAATGCGATGCAATGCATGAGATGTGAAACTATCCGCAGTAGAAAGACATTGATTGATTGATTGATTGTATAAACAGCTTATTGCTTTCATCAGAACTATCAAGACTTTGAGAAGTGATTAATGAATGAATCGCTCAGGCGTGAGGGTGCAAGTTCTTTGCTGGCAGTGTAAAGCAGTTATCATCGTTCCTCTATCCAACAGCAGTGGTCTTCCCTAGGAGTGTTCTAGGATTTCTTTTGCAAGGAGTGGCTTTTGGCCAAGAAGTGGCCATTATAGGGGAAGACCACTAAAATTTCGCTTGCGACGCCTGGGGGTATGCAACGGAAATTGCTTGCCTTTCAGCTGTGCAGCTCTCTTCCAGCTCTTTGCCGTTTTCTTGCCATGCGATTTCCCTCAATGAGATGGTTAAATGTAGTGCATTGAATATTACTACAAATCTAATCGTAGTTGGAGATATCATGGCGTGAATGAGGTAATGGATACGCAGCTAAATAGATGATGCGCAAGTCTTTTGCTTGATACTCACTATACAATACTAACCGACTTAATGCACTTAATTTAAATGGAATTTCCAATGGTTTTTTTTTTTTTGTTTTCAAATGTTTTAGCACCGTTTGCTGCCTGCCTGCCTGCCTTCCTGCCTGGCTGATATGCGCGAGTGTGCGTGTGTTCTCTTGTGAGTATATATCAAAATGAACAAGTCAAATAAATCAGCCTTATATTGAATGCAATTTCTTTTGTTAAAACTAATTTCGCTTTCCAATTATCCAAAAAAATGAACACCAACAACACACACACACACCAGAACGCCCAGGCCGCAGTTACGGTCAATGAGCTCCAATTACACCCAGATCATCCATATACAATATGTACATATGTATGCATGCATCTGGTATGGCGATTCCGCACCGATTCCTTGCAAGTTTCAGGACACTTTTGCCTTAGTTACACACCTATCTGTACTGTACTGTATATGTATATATATATGTATATATGTATATGTATGTATATAATGTATTTTAAGTACATTTACTTAGTTATCGTTTAGTGGATGCAACATACCGCGCTGTACCAGCAATCGCTGCGTCGGAACATGCTCCGACCGCCAGCTGCCGATGAGATTTCTAATTTTAATCAAAACTCGTCTCCAACAAGGGACTCGACTCCCCCTCCCCCCGACTACTACTCTGGCGAGAATTCCAAATTCTCCGTTTTTTTTTTTGTTTAGATTTAATTTCATTTCTTTTCGATCCCCGTACGATCATAGCTTAGAGTTAATTTTATGTGTACACATCAATAACGACGATAAATATTAGAAGAAATATCATAAGTTTCCAATCTACATGCATATGCCATATGGTTTCTGCTTACACACACAATTCACATACACTTGGGCAAATATGCCCGATAATACATGGATATATATATATGTATGTATATAGTATATAGTGTATAGTATATACACATAAATCTGTTGTTGCTGTTGCTGTTGTTGTTTCTGGTTATGTATTATTGCAAGCACTTCTGTCGGAAGGAGAACTCAAAATTCACTTCACAATGATCTCTCGCCTAAGGAGACAGAGGCTCCTATCTATCATTTAAATATCAATATACATATATCAATGAGTAGAAAGTAGAAAGGTATACAATTCTATTTCGATTCGATTGGATTTCGATTCGATCTGCTCTATGTGTGAGACCCTGGGAGAAACCATGACTGTTCGAGAAATGCTGATGGATGTCTTTGGGGCCGTCTCTGTGAATCCGGAAACCGTTTTGTTCAAATCAAAATCAAATTTAAAACTGAGATTGAAACAGAAACAGAAAAACTCAACTGAAATAACCGCTAAAAAAATTAAAAATTAAATGAAAACAGTTGTTTTTTTTTTTGGTTTTTTTTGTTTTGTTTAATTATAAATAACAATTGTATACTTTTTAATAAAATGGGTGTTCTTGTTGTGTTGTTGGTTTTTTTTTTCAAGAAAAAAAATTAAAAAGAAATACATATTTCTCGCTATTGATTTAATATTGATGGATTAAAGCCCAGACCTTTACGGACACACTTCACTTCCTTTCTTCCATCGCTTATGATATCATTTCTTTTCTTTTCATTTATTATATGCTTCATTTGCTGTCACTTTTTCTGGTTTTCTGGTTTTTCGGTTTTCTTCGGGACAGGTTCGATTTGTCTGGATGTTGAGGATACCCGAGCGATGCGGTTGAATTTCTTGCTCATTTCGTGGTATTGACAATCATATCATATCGTACACGTAAAATAGTAAGAAATATTAGCGATAATTATACAAATAATGGATAGTTCTCATCTTCCTTTGTTTCTTTAAAAATATCACTTAAGTGTAAATAATTTCCAGAACGCAACGAAATAGATCGAGTGCACATACTTATCTACATACGTATGTGTGTGTACGTGTGTGTGTGAGTTTGAGTGTGGTGCACGAATTAGCAAATTAGCAAGAAAAACAATGATAATAATGATAACAATAATCATACTCGTGTAATCGTAATCATATAATCGTAATAAAGAATAGATGCGCCCACCCATTCCCATCGGCATATCGTGGAAGACGGGGGGCGACAGACAAAAAATATGTAATGTAAGTAAAATGTTTTCTATGTATTTCCTCCGTTTTTTTCAGTTTTCATTTTACAATTTAATCGATATATGTATTTATAATTTGTTTGTATGTAAATATGTTCGATTCCATGTGCAATGACATGTGTATGTTTGTGTGTGTGTGTGGGTTTTTTGTTTAAACTTAAAGTTAATAAAAACGAAATACAAGTGTAAAAAATTGTTGTTAAACTTTTTCGCATTACACAAAAATGGCCACCATTATGAATTTCATTCAAATCACGGCAAACAATTTCAATGAAATTTTCGCTTGCGTGTTTTTTCATCGCCCCCCCGTTTCCGTTTTTCGCTTACAGCTTTCAGCTTTGCTTTCCTTTTCTTTGTTTCACTTTTAACGATTGCCTTCAAAAACTGTTTAAAGCTGCTGGCTGCCTGCCTGGCTGGCGTAAGCTCAAAATATCCCTCATCTGCTCGACCAACTTGATCCGATTGATTGCGACAACGAATTGTTATCTGTTATCCCATTGCAATTGGCTTCACTGCCGACTATCGACTCGTCTCGTCTCGACTCTCTACCGGCGCTTAATTCGAAAAATATATGTACTCGTATATGTATATGCATATATAGATATATAGGGGCTTCATTTTTCGTTTTTTTGTTTTGTTTCTTCATGTGTGTGTTTGTGTGTGTGGTTGGTTGTGTATGGTTTCTATATATACATATTCTAGACTTTAGTTTGTACTTCCAATTTGGTTAAGAATTCCTTGTGTATTTTCTTTCTTTTTCATCATCGTCTACATATAAGTTTCCGATCGACATCGGCATTGCCATCGGCTTCCGGTACCGGCTATGCTCCTGCATTCTCTCAATCTCAATCTCTGGCTTTCTCTCATTAAGTTCTTCTCTTCGCTTATCTGTTCATCTGTCATCATTCTCTCCCGCCTCGCTGGGTCTTTTTGTGACGTCATTGTAATTATATATGTATACCGTAATTTGAACAATTCACAATAGTTGCTTGCACAACGCAAAAAGTTTTTTGTTTTTTTTAATCTTAGATTTTAGTCATAAGTTCATTACAAATTAATTAATAGACAAATTTTCCTCCTTTTTCGTTTGTTTTTTTATGTTTCTGTTTTTGTTTTTGTTTTCGAAAATATCAACTTAACAACGTACTAAAAATTTGAACATGCTTTGAAAAACGTTTTCCTTCTGGCTGCAATTGAAATTTCGACGGTTCGTTCTTTTGCTAGACCTTCTCTTTGTCTGTCTGTCTTTCTGTCTGTCTGTCGGCTATTATTTATTTGTTTGCTGCTTGGTTTGTTTGTTTTGTTTTTAAAATTCACTACAGTTTAAGTTTAAGTTGCTTTATGTGTCTATATGCTATGTATATTAGCGCGTGGGGTAGCTGTGTTTTGGATCGGGTTCTGGGTTCTGGGTTTGGGTTCGGGGCAATTGTTCTATAGATGTTTCAGTGGTTGTTCAGTGGGGGTGGGGGTCGTGGGTGTATGTCGACTGTGTGGGGCTGGGTGCTTAACTAACTAGAATATTTAGCTGGTGTGTTTAACTATTGCCGCTGTTTGCATGAATTTGATTAATACTTAACTCTTAGCGTAAAACACACATACGAATTGTTTAAACGGTTCTTGGATTGAATTCTACATTCCACATGCCACATGGATTATGCAATTAATTTAACTATTTTGTTATTGTTGTTGTTGTTCTATGCCTATACAATGTCTGTGTTTTCTGTTGTGTGTTTGTGTGTGTGTGTGTGGATGCAACGCCTTGAATATTTACTCGTAATATGCATATCTTTAGGTTTTCGTTTTCTCATTTTGAATATTCTGCTTTATAGTTCCATTTTGATTTGTTTGAGTTGGTTTTTCTTTTTTAGAGCAAGAAGTAGAACAGAAATTGCACTTAATACTAGAAAAAAATTTACTAGAGTTCTTAAAACTAAAAAATCAAATGTATATTTGCTTTAAATATTGTTTGTTTGTTTGTTTCTTTCTTTCTTGGTTGTTGTTTATGTCGTGTTCTTCCATCTTTTTTTTTGTGGTTTTTTCTTTTGCATTTTTTTTGTTTGTTGTAATGTTCAATGTTGTTCATACACACATTCATATGGTTTTTGTGTTTTGTTGTTGTATATAAAAATCGACCCGGTTCGGTCGGGGTCCGGTTCCGGGTACGTCCTCTCTGCCATACACTGTGTTTCTTTGTTTTGTTTTCTCTTTTTTTGTTTTTGTGTCTAACATAAGAATTAACAAAGTCATTTTTAGAAATAAATATGTATGTATATATGTATGTAATGTATAGTTACGCGTAGCAATAGTAATAATAATATAATAATAATAATAATTAGATTATTGTAGATTGCAAATGTTGCCCGGGGCACAAATGTCTGCAACATTTGCACGGCAGTTGGCAACACCAGCACAACAACAAAAGAGATACCGTTACGTGTTAAGGTGCACATTCCATGCAGAGTAAAAATTATGTGAGAGACCATTTTTTCATTTGCTTTTGCTTCAGCGCTCGCATTTGCACTCTCGCTCCTGCTCCTGCTCCAGCCTCCGCATGTCGTGGCAGTCAACAACAATCTACAAACTGAGTGAGGGTGAGGGGATCAACGTTGGATGGGGATGGGTGGGGCCCTAGCCCTGCATGAGCACGGGCTGCTGGTGCTGGTGGTGCACCTGCTGTGGATGCTGCTGCTGTTGGTGTTGCTGCTGCTGCTGCTGTTGATTGGCAGCGGCCCGGCTCCAGGCCAACAGGCCATTGGCAGCGGCCACCTGCTCCTCGCTGTCGGCCTCTGATCCACTTTCTCCTGCTGATCCTCCTCCTCCTCCTCCTCGTCCTACTCCATCAGCATTGGTGGGGGTTGGCGTTGACGAAATGGGCGCCGCCACTATCACCGAGGTGGCCACACTGCGGATGCGCACTGGTCTGTTGCAGATCGTGTTGCTGTTGGCCGTCACCCCATACGGGTGGTGGTGGCTCTGGTGGCGGTTCGGGTTCTGATTCTGGTGGTGGTGGTGGTGTTGGTGGGCCTGTGCTTGTCCTCCATAACGCCGATTCGTTTTGATCGTGAGGGCGGCGGGCAGCTGCTTGCCGGCAGCTACTTCGGCGGCCAGTCTCACGATCGTTGTTGTCATCTTTGCTGCTGCTGTGGTTGCTGTTGTTGTTGCATTTGTTGCTGTGGATGTGGTTGTGATTGTGGATGTTGTTGCTGCCTTGGACAGATACGCCGACGCCTGGTTGACCGCCTCCGTCGACGACTTCTGCCGCTTTCAGTCGCCGAAGCGGCTGCAAGCCTTCTTCCACCGGCACTGAGTGCACCACTGGTCGCGCTTCTCCATGCCGTACACCTTGCGGCATTTCTTGTTCTCGCCGCGCGTCCGACGATTGGGCGAGTTGGGCGTGTGCTTGGCCACGCCCACAGACTGTTGCACGGCCACGTGCTGCAGAGGCATGTTGTTGTTGTTGTTGTTATTGTTTGCAACCAGGTTGCTGGCAGTTGGTTGTTGCTGGCCGCGCACATGTGGCTGGTGCGGATGCGGCGGCTGCTGATCCTGGTGGTGTTGTTGTTGTTGTTGGCTCTGGTGCGGCGGCTGCTGCTGCTGTTGGGTCGGATGATAGTTTGGCGTAATGGTCACACTGGACAGGTGGTGCTGCACCTGGCCGTGGTGCGCGTGCGCCGTCACCGTCACATTCTGTTGCGTGAGCTGCTGCAGCATGACCGGGCTCACCGGGTTGCTGTTGTTGCTTGAAGAACTGTGCTGGTGCTGTTGCTGTTGCTGCTGCTGTTGCTGGACGTACGTCGGTGGTGGATATGGCGCTACCAAGTGGGACGGACGAGAAGACGATGTGCGAGCGTGCTTGTTCAGCGTGGACCCAGGGGACGACATGGCCGTCGGGATCGGCCCCGGGCTGCTGGATGGCCAAGTGTAGTTGTGGTGGGCCAGATGCGATGTCGGCGTGCAGCTGGTGTTGTTGTTCTGCAGCTGCTGCTGCTGATTGCTCGGGATGGTGCTTATGTGGTGCATGCCCCCCCGCCCGCCACCATTGTGATGTGCCGTCGCCTTATGCTGCTGCTTCTGCTGCTGCTGATGCGTTAGGTGGTTATAGTTATGCAAAGCACGTCCTTGCCTGTATGGGAGGGAATAATCATTATCATCACCATAACAATGCATATGCTCCGTCAATGGTTCACTCACTTGAAGTTCCCGACAATCTGTTTTTGGTATTCGGGATCCTCGTGCGGAGGACGTGCCATGTCCCGGTGGCTGAGCGTGGGTTCCGAGGCTAGACTAGGCGCTTTGACCAACTCATCATCGTCGTCGTCTTCTGTGTAGTAGAACTCCTCCTCGTGCTCGCTGCAGGAGTCATAGTCGCCGGAGAGTCTGGGGCTGATGGGTCTGCTGCAAAATCAACGAAAACAAAAGTCCAAATAAATATTTACGACCGTTTCTTTTTTTGTTGTTATGCCATTCACACAAAGTGCCAAGAACTCTGGCAGCTCCGCGAACCAGTTCCGCAGCTTGCCTGGATAATTTTATCACCCTCTTCTTAGGGGTGTTTTAATGTATCTAAAATACAATGAATTCGTAAAAGATGTTTTCCCCAATAAGCTGTGATAGCTCTCACTCGGTGCTGCTATCTAGAAACCATTAAATTTCAATATTGAGAATAATTGAGGAGTATCGAAAGTGCCATACGCTGGTTTCGCTGTTTAAATCGAACTGTTTAAATACAGCGGGGTTTTTTTGTTGGTATATTCACAGTATATTTCTGCGAGTACGAATTAAATACGCGGCCACATTGATGACTCATTTTTGCGTTGCACTATGAGCTCCAGTTGGATTTGTTGTATTCCAATACAGTTTGTGAGCAGTTGCAAAAAATCCCATACCGTTTGATGACAATTGGGAAAAATCCAGTTGGGTTGAACAACAAGAACAGCGTGACCATATTTTTTTTTGGGATTTTGGCAAAGTTTTGGCGTTTGTCGTTTTTAAAGAAACGAATAACAGTAACACTTTTTGCAAAAAAAAAAAACGCACGTTCCGTGTGGAAATCAATACGAAATCAACAAAAAGTGATCGATTTTGCAACAGACGCAGCCCAGAACGCGCCAGAAGTGCATTACTCATTGTCCGCCAGCCAACGCGTGTGTTTCCCCAGCTGCCAGCCGACAGCCAGCCACAAAGCAATCGCACTTTTGTTGTGGAAAATTTTGCAGTCGTCGCCGTCGCCGCCGCTGCCGCCAACAAGCGAAAAATTTGCGCGTCGTCTGAGCCCGTCTGTGTTTGTGTGTTTGTGTGTGTGTGTGTATAGTCGTATCGCACGGCCTACATTGTCAATTAACAAGCGCGAAACATTGTGATCACCCTTTTTCCTACGCGCCGCCCAGCACTTAAACAGTCGGCCAGCATGTCCACTCCACGACCTGAGGAGCACCAGAAGTTCTCCGCCGCAGCCGCCCTCTGCCCGCTCAGCAACTGCCAGTTCAGCGGCGTCGTAATTAGCGCCATCGCTGACGAGCAGAAGCTCGAGTTCACCAACAAATACAAGGGCAGTTGCACGCTGCTCTGCAGCTACGACTCCCAGGGCATTGTGCTGCGAATAGTGTTGGGTAATTATCAGCTGTGCTGTCCTGTCTGGCATCGGCATCTGTACGTCCCCCCTATAATGTGTGATTTCTCATTTCAGATGCTGACCGAGAGAATGTGCTCAAGGAGTACATGATAGGGGCGGACACGGACGCGGCCCAGATGGGCCGACGTAGCTATGCCGTCACCCTGGAGTCGGATAACCTGGTGCTGCGATTTGCCAGCGACCAGGACCAGCAGCTCTTCCGCAAGGTGGTGGAGAACGTGAAACACCTACGGCCCAAGTCTGTGTTTTCGCAGCGTACCGAGGAGTCTTCCGCATCGCAGTATTTCCAGTTCTACGGCTATCTGAGTCAGCAGCAGAACATGATGCAGGACTATGTGCGGACGAGCACGTACCAAAGGGCCATTCTGGGCAATGCAGTTGACTTCCAAGTAACCAGCTCACAGTTGCATCTCCGCTCAGAATCAGTCGCTAATCAACCGAACATATTTTTGTTTGCAGGATAAAATCGTTCTGGATGTGGGAGCTGGCTCCGGTATTCTGTCATTCTTTGCCGTGCAGGCTGGCGCGGCCAAGGTGTATGCCATTGAGGCTTCGAACATGGCTCAGTATGCCCAGCAATTGGTCGAATCGAACAACGTGCAGCACAAGATCTCTGTGATACCCGGCAAGATCGAGGAGATCGAATTGCCCGAGAAGGTGGATGTCATCATATCTGAGCCCATGGGCTATATGCTATACAACGAACGCATGCTGGAGACCTACCTGCATGCGAGGAAGTGGCTAAAGCCCAATGGCAAAATGTATCCCACACACGGGGACCTCCACATTGCGCCCTTCTCTGACGAGTCGCTCTACTCGGAACAGTACAACAAGGCAAATTTCTGGTACCAGTCGGCCTTCCATGGCGTCGACCTCACCACCCTGCACAAGGAGGGCATGAAGGAGTACTTCCGCCAGCCGATTGTGGACACCTTCGACATTCGGATCTGCATGGCAAAGTCTGTGCGCCATGTGTGCGATTTCCTCAACGACAAGGAGGACGATCTGCATCTTATTGGTATATTTCCTACCTAATCTTAACCACCGATTGGAAAACTATACAAATTTATTTTTGTTTAGATATCCCCCTGGAATTCCAAATACTCCAAACGGGCATCTGCCACGGTCTGGCGTTCTGGTTCGACGTAGAGTTCAGTGGCAGCAGCCAGAACGTTTGGCTCTCTACCTCACCGACGGCTCCATTGACGCACTGGTACCAGGTGCGCTGCCTGCTGCCCATGCCCATCTTCATCAAGCAGGGCCAGACGCTGACGGGACGGGTGCTGCTCGAGGCCAATCGGCGGCAGTCGTACGATGTCACCATCGATCTGCACATCGAGGGCACGTTGATATCATCGAGCAACACTTTGGATCTTAAGAATCCGTATTTTCGGTACACGGGGGCGCCGGTCCAGGCGCCGCCGGGGACTAGTACGCAGAGCCCGTCGGAACAATACTGGACACAGGTCGACACGCAGGGCTCGCGTAATTGTAAGCAAAACACACACACATTATAGAAATGGAAAGATCTTTAACTAATCTCTGTCTCTGTGTTGCAGCTTCTAGCATGCTAAATGGTGGTCTTGGTGTCAATGGCATCGGTGATGGGAGCATGGACATTACCCACGGACTCATGCATCCGCACTAGTTCGACCGTAGACATGCAAAATGCTGTGCTGTGCTGGGAATGCTCCTTGCTACAAGTCCGCGCCTCAACTCAACCGATTGCAGCCGATCCTAGTGTTTCTGTCAGATTTTGTTTTGTTACAACTCTTTTTTTTTATTTTTATTTTTTATGGTTAGGTTATTTATTGAAAACTTGTAAATTATTTTTGTGTACTCTCGGAATTTAGCTGCCTCTTTCTACGCCTTCACCCTTCACCCTTCTGCACTTATCCTATTTTATGCGCCTTGTATTTTTAAAAAACGATCGAATGAATCGAAGAGAGAAACCGGAAGCAACAGCAGCAGCAGCAGGCAACCAGCAAACCAGCAAACATACAAACAAACAATCAAGAAACCAAGGCAGACTAAATGTAGTTGTTTAGAACACGCAGCATATTCAATAAGCATAAGCTAATTTTAGCCCCCTAGTAATTAGTGTTTTTAACCGTATGTAAAATGTAATAACGATATTTAACCAACGTGTGGGACTGCAGATGAATACTTCAGGATGATTGATTCTTAGTTAATGCCAATTGCCAATTTGCCGAACGGAAAAGCTTTGAACAAAACCCCAACATATTCAGATTGTATTGTATCTATTGTGTGTTATTATATTTAATTATATTATATTGTATTGTACCTCCTTCAAGCGGGGCTAGTTTCAATTCTTTGCGTAAAACTATTATTCTGCGTTTGTCAAGCGATTATTCATATTTTTTAGTTTTGTGAAATTATAAGACATTGCTCATAGTGGATTTAGTGGATAAGCCAAGCAAACAAGCAACAAAAAAAACACCAATACATACTTTTAACTTATAACTGATTCGCGCCTAGAGATTATACATGTATGATTATGCTTACAAAACATACGAGAATTCGATTGTGAAGTTTGGCTTTCGATTCTGTACCTAACCTATGTTCTGGCTTTGAGTTCCCTCCCATGCCCCCCTACAAGTCCCATCTTAGATGATCGATCCTACAACGCTGCCAGCCTGCCAAGCGATTTGTTGGTACTATATCTATATACATATATATATATATATATATATATATATACCTAGAGATATACACGTAGTCTACGTACATATAACAGCATACATACTTATACATAAACACCTACATACATATACATACATTCTCACATGTGGCAGATGTGCATCTCATATGTGTACGTACTGTACTTTCTAGCGTAGTCGAGAGCGTTTCGACAAATCACACCACCAACAACAACAAACAACAACACCAACACACTCATACAATAATGCATACAAGAAATATATTAAACCTATAAAACTATATATAATAAACATATGTATATCGCATATATTACTATGCCGAGGAGAGAAGAGAACAAACAATGTCAATGCAAAAGCAGCAAAAACAAAACAAAACAAAACAAAAAACACCAAAACTGTATTTTATTTAGTGCAATTTATTCCCCCACCCCCATCATCGGTACGCGAGTCGAGTACATTATTATGCTAGCCCCCCACCCGCCCCTGACTGTTGCTCGGGGGTTTGCTGCCTTTATATAGGAAACGAGATTTACAAGTGTCAAAGCTCAGTCGGATTGACTGTGTGGGGGAGGAGCTGGCTGGGCTGGCTTGCTGGGACCTTGGCCCCAAAAAGTGCAGCGCAGTCGCGGACGGGCCCCCGCACACACTCGTTGCTGTTGCTGGTGCGCAAAGTAATCTGGGTGTCGTCTGCAGGGGGCGTGCATATGAGATATGTATACACATTTGACCCGCTTGCTATGTACAAGTGCTCTACTTTCGAGCCGCACTTTGGCACACAGCGAAAGGGAAGGGAAGGGAAGGGAGCGGAACTCGATGAAGTGCACTTCTGGGAACGATTACAGAAGGTCGCCCGAGGCTGGTACCACTGTACGTACGAGCCACGAGCCCCGCTTTGATGTGAGCCCCAGGTTGCTTGCTTTTCTCTGTTTTTTTTTTTTGTGGCTGGCTAAGTCAAGGCCCAATCCACTTGCTGCTCATTTTGTGTTGCTGTGTCCATCTTGCTTGGGCCTTGCGCCCGGCTGCCAAGGACTCTCGAGGCACAGCAGAACCAAAAAACTGATGGGGCGGGGGATGTAATTGAATTTCTGGTTTACTTACCGATGCAAATGTTGGATTCTAACGTGACGTCTCATTTCCGATTCCTCGTGCTCCAGAAAGGGACAGCGTGGATAGGTACAGCGGAACTTTCGGGACTGCAATTAAAAAGAGAGAAAAACGCCTTTCATTAGTGACATTCGATTGGATGGAATTGCATACATATATACATATATTTAAAGGTGAAAGGTTGGGGTAAGCGTATCGTACTTGACGTAAATGCGGATCACGCATGGCTGTGGGCGGCGTGGAGGAGCGCGAGGAGCAGTGGTCCTCTGTGCTGGCCTCTCCATCAGCGCCAAAGCTCTCGTATTCACTACGCTCCACGTAATAGTTGAGCGCCAGCGTGTTCATGTTGCACAAAGGTAATCAGAATCGGAATCGGAATCAGAGACGCAGACGGAGTACGGAGCACGAGCTGGAGCGTTTATCAACCGGTGCCGGCCCGGTGCCAAATGCGACTGTGTGGGTGCGGACAATGCAACTGGCTGACTGCCTGCCTGCCTGGCCTGGCTGCAAGGATATTGTCGCACGAGCAGCAAAACGATGCCGCACGAACGAGCGTGCCGCCTGTCGCCTGCCGCTTTCGGCTGCACTGATAAGGGGCCCGGGTCTGGGTCCGGGTCCTGGTCCGGGTCCGGGTCCGGTCTTGGTCCCGGGCCGCGTCAGCGTCCGCGTCCTTGCCGAAGCGAGTGGCCCATTTGCATCGGCCCCTCCGCTCCACGGACGCTTATTTACTGGGTCACCTTGTGGTTGTTGCTTTGCTTCACTTGGCGCTTGCCACTCGCCTTGACACGCTTTTCCCTCTTTGGCTTTTAACTTTTTATGCGCCTGCATTTATGCTGCGCTTTATGATGAAGGTTAGGATAGCAGCAGAGGCAGCGACAGCAGCAGCAGAGGCAGCAGCAGAGGCAGCAGTGACCGAGGCAGCGACCGAGGCAGCAGCAGCAGCATCGCTGTTGACCCACTTTTATGCTGGCTTATGTTTTTGGGGCACGGGCACTGCAAACAACTGATTGGCGTCCTTGTTTAGCTCGGATGTCCTTGTGCGAGTGCTGAACAAATTGCAAATTTGGGTTTTTCGCTGCTGTTCTGCTTGGCTCTGCTCGGCTCGGCTTGGCCTTGTACGCCAAATGATTAACGATTTGTTTACAACTTTTCCCCCTCCCCCGAAACAATTGTGGTCACGGGTCGTTTGCTGCATGCTGCATGCATACCAGATGATGCCACAAATTTAAGGCTACGATTCAGGCATTTTCCTGCCATGGCGCACAACATCCTGCCAAAACAAGCAGAGCAGCCTTGCCACAAGAGCAGCGCAGAATGGTGGAGAGGGTAGAGAGGGTAGAGAGGGCAGCGAGGAAGGGGGTGTAGCGCTGCGAGCCGCAACGTAATCATAAACATAAATAACTTGCGCTACTTAAGCAGCGTAAATTGTAGACGCACGTGGTTGCCACTCATCTATGTGTGGGTGTGTGTGTGCCACAACATTAACTGCCTGAAATGCAGAGTGCGGAGTGTGTGGCATAGGGGATGAGTGCTAGGCACACACAGTTCCTACACACTTTTCGTTTTAACTTGGCGCAATTAGTGGGCGACCATAATTCGTTTGCGGCCAGCCTACCAGGATGCGAGGCATATCCTGCCACATAAATAAATGCCTGCACACACACACACAACAGACTCCCCCTCACACAATTGTTGCCGTCTGTGCCAGATGTGTTGGCCAAGTAAATATTTCCTGCTATTTCTGTTTCTGTTTCTGTTTCGCTGTGCAGTGGCTCGGAGTTGTTCGTGACTTGCCTACCAAATATGTTGCCACTGCCACTGCCACTGACTCTTCATTTGCCTCCGCCTTCGAACAGGCTTTCCTCTTCATCTTGCGCTGATAAGCGGTGGCAGGCAGCAATTTAATTTCCTCCATTTGTCAATCGCTGCGTATACGTAATATTCAAATTCTGCTCGATTCAGCCTTGGCGTTTCCATTATATTCAATTAATGCCGGAACAAGTTTCAGATCATTTTGGGGTACGGGTGGGGGGAGCAGCTATAAATTCTGCTCTGCTCATGCCCCCTCAGCCACCATACCTGCCCCGTCAGCTGGCGCGTTTTATTGCCACCTGCCAAGTTGGCCAAATCGAAAAGTAAATTAAAGCAGCCCAAGTTATGTATGTCTGCCTGGCTTCATACTCGTGGCCTGTGTCTGTGTATTGGTGCGCGTTAATTATCTAGCTCTAATGAGGGACGGTCGGCGCAGGGGGCATCATGCCCAAATGCCTGGCGCTCGTTTCCTAATGAATGAAAACCATTCTGGTCGCTTGGCGGCGCAAAACTCCAGCTGGCAGCGACACTTTCCCCGGCGATGGGACAGGGAAATAAAATTCCACCCTGGTCCATCCAAAAACAGAGCAACGGCAACGGCAACAATGACTACCGCACTATGTCCTGATTTGGCTGCTCACAGCAGGACAGGGACCAGGGAACCAGGGAACAGAACTGCGACTGCGACGGGGTCCGGGTTCGGGTGGTACATAAATACGCGCAACGTGAGTGGGCGGAATAACATGAATCTTCTTTAAGGCAGTTTCAAGTCAAACGGAAAATGTACCAGACAGAGCAAGTGGGAGTTGGAGTGTGACTTGGGGTGGGGGCTGGGCCGAGTGGCATTCCCGGTTTGCCTTCGGCTTCATCCCCCTGGCAGAGTCGCCATGTCTGGCGCCAGTTCCAGGCATCCCAGCTTCACATATATACTCCTCCAATCCCAGGCAGTATTTTATTTGTATTTACTGGGACTGGGAGGCGTGCTTTCTGCAATATTTATCTAAGCCTTAAGCGAGGTAGTTCGCCCCGGGCAGGATAGTGATAGAAAGGGAAAAGCTGGGATGAGGATTTAGATGCAGATGCAGGAGATCCAAGTCTGATCCAGTCAGATCTAGTCTGACATTAAAGTTGAGTAGATCTATTGGCATCCCTCTTGCTACCTGCCACTAATTGATTATTCTGACGTTATCTGCAGACCTTTTGTTGCCATGCAATTTTCCCCAGCCTTCACGTTCAATGAAAATTTACTTGACAGCCCCAAATTGAAGAGCACTAAACACCCACACAACTGTGGAAATATTCACTCACACGCACGCACACACCCACATAGACTACGTGCGATGTATAAATAAAAGTTGTTTCCCTTTCGCTCTCACTGTCTCGCTTTTAGTGCTGGCTGCTCGTCTTGGAGTTTTCCCGTTTCTGGTTTTGGCTTTGGCGGAAGCATAAACAACCCCAAACCCCAGAGAAAATGGGCCACAGCCAAAAATACACAAAAAGGAAATGCGAACCGAAATCGAAACCGAAATCAGAACAGCTGTGGAAGGACAAACTCGAAATTGGGTCAACTGTATATAGTGGGCTGTTATGTATGTGTGTATGTGCACGCGTTGGGGGTTGGCCATGCCCCTGCTTGTCTCTCTCTGTGTGTGTGTGTGTGTGTGTGTGTTGGCCCTGTCCGTGCCACATGAAACGTCACTTGCAACTCTTCTTAACAGGGCCAGAGAGAGCCAAGCCAAGCCAAGTCTAAGAGCGCGTGAGAGAGAGGGTGCAAAAAAGAGAGCCAGAGAGAGAGTACCGTGCAACAGTGTGCCCCCAAAGAGCGCGTCCGAAGAGAGCGTGAACTGGAAGTGTGTTGTATGTTGTATGTTGCTGTGTGTGTGTGTGCTATTACTGTTAGCAAAATTAGGTCACTGGAAGCACAACATAAACGGGGCGTAGGTTGCTCCTACTCCTACTCCTCAGCCCACAACCCCCAAACCCCACAGCACGCAAAATGGAGCGGCAACATAAATTATTGACTGCCGCACAGCAGACCGAAAATAGCACAAAATTTGTACACAAAATATCGATGTGGTGGCTTGCCCCACACATCCTCCTCTTCGTACGGCATGCCTGCCGCAAATTGTGTGCCAGGAAGAAAAGCCTTTCATTAGCAGCTGAAAATGTGCGCCCGATGGGATTTGCTAAACATTTTGCCTCAATTTTTTGCTTGCTTTTCACGTTCGGTGAAAATCTTAAAAGGTTTGCTGCTGCTCGCCTCCTTGTGTGCTGCCGAAATTCTCCTAATAGGGCTTAATACGCGGCAAACTCGAATTGCACTCACGGCGCCGTTTACATTTCAACGCCCGCGTCCCATTAATGTCAGGATGCTTGCCCTCCCCCCGCCTTAAGTCGCGCACAAAAGTAGGCAACGAAAATGATGGGCTTGCCCCGCGGGTAACTTCATTCCATGCCCGTTTTATGTACGCCCCATTAAAGCTGGCTAAGCTCGTCATGGCAATTTTTATAATTTGCATTGCCAGGCCGAGACTCTGGGCCAGAGGGAGTTTGAAGTGGATGTGGAGCTGGAGCTGGAACTGGAGCTGGGAGAGAGACATGCAGGGAATTGATGGCTTGCCTGCCGCAAATCGAATTCAAATAGAAATCCACGCTACGTTTTGCATGTGTGTGTGTGTGTGTGTGTGTGTGTCTGGCTTTAAAGTCTTATCGCCATGCCTTCAGGCAGCGGTCTCAGGGCTGCCCAAAATTGGGTCACATCAGATAAGGGCGCAACCGGAGAGCACCAGCGAGAGAAAGAGAGAGAGAAAGAGAAATAGCTTTCAACAAAATTTCGGCTACTTTATCATCTCCAATCATCAGGCAGAAGCACACAGCAAATTTTTGCTGGGGAAAATGTTATTTTTGTAACGAGTTGGCGGGCCAAATGGGTTGCTTTTGTGTATTGGGGGCTTGGGGTTGGGATAGTTGGATGTTGTATTTGATTTCCACCTTTTAAAACAAATTTGGAAAATTTGATTACACTGCTGCGGCTGCCTGGTGCGGCTGCCTGGCCTTGCCAATTTGTTGGGTGCTTAATTTGATTGCGTTTAAATAAAAGCACGCACGGAGAGCAAACAAGAGTAGAGCAGAGTGGAGTGGAGTGGAGACCGACAGTGACAGAGTGTCATAAATATATAACTACGCAGACACACACACATACAGACACACGCACACGTATGCATAACTGATGTGACATAAACACACGCGAAATTGTCATTGCCGCGGGAAAAGCCAA